TCTCGGTTCCAACTAAGGACTCAATCGAAAAAGGCCAGATGTAAAAAAAAAAAAGAAAAAAGTAAGGAGCACATTTTTCTTTTTGTAAAAACAGCATGTGATCTGTTTTGAAACCCGTCAAAGAATCAAAATCAACAATTGAATTCAATTATTACATTTAAACAAACTACTAAATCGTAAATAAAGTACATTATTCCAAAGTTGAATTTAATTTGGATAATAATATGGGAATAATAAACGGAGCGCTCTCCCCCCCTCCTGACAACCCGTCCGTATCGTCTTATGCAGCTCAGAGGATCCCGTAAGGATTGATCCAACACAAAACATCCAAATGTAATTGTTAATAGTTAGTTTACCCAGTGTCAGAGTTAGATAAAATAGCTAAGTGTCATAGGTCTAACTTCAGGTGTTTGTTCACCGTCAGCAGAACCTGATCCTGATCACTGATCTCTCTCTCTCACGATCGACTATACTTCCCTGGCGTTTGTGTCCATATCCATCAGATCTAGCTAGCTCTAGCTCGTGATATGACTGCCTGCTTATCAATAGACAAAAACTAACTGAAAACTAGAAAATGCATTTCCTGCTGAAAATGCGTGCGAATGCTGTAAACTGTGTACATTTTTGGCTGAAAATGCAGAATATGTTATTAGTTGAATGGTCTCTGTAGATGCTTTCAGCTACAGAGACCAAGTCAGTGTGTTGCTGAACTTAGCGGAGAAATGCAGAAAAGTGAAATGATTTGAACCAAAATTGTTACAGCTCAAATGCATTGCAATGACTTTTTTGAAAACTTGAAAGTGAAATGTTAAACTGGAAGAGTAGGAAAAATAGTGAAGAAGCTTAATATTTAAAAGAATTTTTTTTAAAAGGTATAAACAACTAAATGTATAGCCTCAATGTCCTGAAATAGTGCTAGTTGCACAGCATTCCACTAACTAAATAAAAATCACAAATCTGAAAATGTTGTGTACAAAACATAAAACAAATTAAATGTGATATAAAAAGAAAATGGATTGAGTCAGAAAGTAAGGGATTTAGTCTCTCCTGTGATGATTGACTATGAACAGAGCAACTCGTCTGATAGACGCACAGAAGGTGAGAAAATTGTTTATTTTGTTCCTCTTGGATTTGAATGTGTCAGAAACACAGGACGTGTACCTACTAGCAACATCAGTGTGAGACTGATGAAGAGAGAAATGAGCGCTGACCTTTCTCTGATGTTTGTGTTGATGATAATATTAACATGATTCATCAGTTGGCACTAGCGCTTATGTGTGCTTATATATCAACTCAAAGTGAAGTAGATTTGGAAGGTTGCTCCAAAAGACTGCGCCACGGACATGCTGGGTCAGGAACCCAACCAACACTTCCTTTGACCACATCCACCTGATTCTCTACATGCGTGTCCTTATTGGCAAATGTTTGGGATTCTTTACTTCCAACATAACCAGATTTTTGAACAGCTGTTGCTGCTATTTTGGTGAATTTGTTCACTTATGAAAAAAGGGAAATATTTTAATGTCCTGCTCCAATGTTAGAGAACGTAATTAAATGTTCCCCTTAACTGTAATCATTAAATAATTTTGAATGTTTAAAATAAAATGAGTTTCAACAAATCCTTACTTCAGAATGGTCTTCCTGCATGTCTTTGCCATGTATCTTTCCCATACGATTCTCAAGTATATCAGGGTGCCTTTCATGGAGTTGGAAGAGAATCTAATATAACTATCAACAGGCACACCATTCACAGAGTGGTTCTGGAATGAGTCCTTAAACCCAGAGATTAGCTACCGTGATGCTGTTTTTTTTTACAGCCGAACGTTAGCTTTTTATGTTTTGGTGATTGCATTTAGACTTCAAAGTATTTAAGTAATGTTCATATGTGGAGGTTATCCTGCTGAACAAAACGTGTAAGTATCATAAACGTTTGTTTGCCACAGAGCTTATTTTCTGCAATATTCCAAAATCAAATGTATTTATTGCAGAGTGAGCCCTTGCAATGCTAACTTCCGAATCCGCCAACAAAATATACGTCACTGAAACACTGACATTGACACACACAAACTGATCCTAAGTCTACTTTTCATGTATCTGGGAAAATCATACATCACCATATTTTGACCAGATACCTTGATATCAATATTGTGACAATATTGTATGGTTGACTTGATACTTTGACACACTCATCAGTAGGGATGCTCCGATCACCAATTTTGGGGCCGATCGCCGGAATCAGTATCGGCCGATACCGATCGCCGATCCGATCGAGTGGGTGGGGGCTATGGGGATCTTCCATTTAAAGTGATGTTTAAAACTCAGTTAATGTGGCTCATTCACTGGCGCTTCCACAAACAACAACCAACATAATTATTACATTCAAATGAAGTACATTATTCAAGTTTACATTCACTTGGGATAATAACACGGGAGAAATGAGCGGAAGCGCTCTCTTTTCCTCTCTCCCCCTCTCTCTCTCCCCTGACAGCCCGTCAGTATTTCATGCAGCTCACTGATCCAGTAATGAGTGACCCGACAGTGAAGAATAAACATATTTATAACTAGTTTAGCTTGTTCCAGAGGTAGATAAAATAGCTAAGTGTGTTAGGTCTAACTCTTAATGTGTGTTCTGCTCCGCTCACCGGTCCGTCACAGCGGGTGGAGCTGCAGGATTTCTGCTTCACACACACGTTGCATACCACTATTTTACTGTCATTTTCGGACACCTTAAAATACTGTTAGACTGGTGAAGCCATTTTGGCGAGCTTGTTTTGCCGCGCACAGAGTAAAGTGTCATGTATTTTACGTCATGTGATCGGCTCTCCCGATCGGCATCTATAGAGAGCACCGATCGATCTGCAGAGAGTGAATATCGGCCGATATCGATCGGCGGCCGATCGATCGGAGCATCCCTACTTATCAGTTATTTAGATATGAGGAAAAAAAAGTAAAAATAAGTTGAATTCAGAACATTCAGAAATGTCTTCACTGCTACTGCCTTGAAAAACAACTTAACAATTAAAATAATACAATACAAAACATTTAGTTGATGCAAGATTGACAAGAAGAGTGTTTATGTGTGTACATCCAATTCAGCTGGAGTAGTCCTCTCTGTCTATTGTATGGAAGACAAAGTTTCCTTTCCATTAATTTTCCTGCATGCCTCATATCATCTCTGTTAGTAGTTTTTGTGCATCATCTAATCTCTCTAACCCCTTGACATTTAGCACAGCGGAAAGAAGGGAAGCAGAGAAGAAGAAGAATTATACTTGATTAGATCAGAGGAAAGAATCAGATACGGCTCTCTAGCTCATGACATTAATGTTATAGAGTTATGGCTTCAGCGGTTATGACATATGATATTTTTATCAGATCAATAATTCAATAAACCTCAGCACTTGCTGCTTCATAAAAAATACACTATCAGACGGTATGGACTTATACTACAATAAGAGAGAAGTTATCAAGTACAGCAAACGGAATTCCGTTTTTTTTTCTATATCACAAACACAGGAACATACAGTGTCACACACTAAATTCCGGACAGTATTTTCCTACAGGTAAAAGCACCAAGACACATGTGGTCTAAACAAATATATGATCAATACATTCACCTGTGTAATAATGACTGAGCCAATTATTCAAACTAATGTTGTCAAACACATTGTGTGTTTGTGTCTGACTTTTTTAAAGTGTGCTGCAATGTAAAGCTCTGTAAATCATCTGTCTGCAATGCATTATTCAATGTTGCAGTGAACCAGGATGGCTGCATAATTAAAGACAAAAACAAAGAAATGCTACTGAAAGACAACAACAATAAAAGAAACAGGTCATTCCCAGCATTCCAGCTGCTGACATCAGGCCAAAGACTGAAGGTCCTCATTCATTTCTGAAAAGAACTATAAGAAATTCTTTATTCCATCGGCTGTGGCCATCCTCAATAACAGCCAGTTTAAATAAGGCTCCCCTCACACACACACACGCCTTGCCTCAAACTTAAGCTCCCTTTTCAAGCATCAAGGATCCTTCTTAGGGAATTCTGCCACCAACATCATCACCTGATTTTAATGAATACTACATTATTTATTTGTAATACAAATTATAGTTTAATGGACCCAAGCCAGTGGAAGAACTAACCACTGCACTTTTATTAAGCCTTATTATTTATTTAAGACGCAATTTCCCTATTTGTGTGTGTATGAGTTGTATTTTGTACTGTATATAGTGAGTGTTACTTTTATCTTATTTGCCAGTGCCAAATACACATTTCCATTATATGGATTATTAATAAATTATACATTTAATGGACAATAAAGTATTTTGAATACGAGTCTGAGAAACAAAACAAAGGAATGCCTTCTATGACTGGCAGCGAAATGGACAAGAATGAAAATCCACAGGTAACAATGCTTACAGTAAGGAATCTACGATATTCAATTAACAGGGTTGAATTGGACTAGTTGGTCCACGTTGTAAACAACCTTCAGCAAGATTAGCTAGGAGTGGTTAGCCTCCAAGCTAATAACTGAGTAACTTGCTCACTCGACCAGCGCCTGGTTCTGGTTAGGAGGTGACGCTCAATGTGTACGGTAACTGTTAACTGTCTGTAAATAAAGATATATGGTATGCCTTCAGGGAAATATGTCCATGTCTTCTAATGGAAACAAGTTCAGCAGTAACGTAAACTAACATTACACACAGTAAGCGACGTTGCGCTAGCTTTGCTGTGCACCAACTTCAATGGCCATACCGAAGCACTTCAACTCAACTAACGCTACCTGTAAAAAAGTAGCCGCAAAACAAATACTTTAGTCTCAAATTCACCACAGCAGATTACATTGGGTCTCTGGGCATTTACGTCAATTGATAAAACACAAAGTAAGCTACGGTAATTTTTCTGACAAACAATATAGTTGAGATGCCTTCACTGCCATTCCACTTTGTGTCTGCATCTGACTGTACGCACAGGAAATACAAACAAAACAGGTTGTTTTACTTACAGTTATAATACTTGAAAGTGTAAAGTTAAATCCTTGGAACGAACAGCATCGGTTTCGTTGATAAAAACATGATATTTATGTGGCAATAGCTGAAGTATGTCTGGTGTCCCTGCCTGTCTGACTGGTTTTGGGAAAGAAAAAAACCTGCTCTGGCACCAGCAACCAATGGCTTTGGATGTAATCGTGACTGACGTCTCCCCAACCAATTACCAGTGTCGAGCCCTTGTGGTTGGTCTCTCAGCCAATAAAGTAAGACTAGGCGGGATTTTATGGGATTTGACAAACGCGAGTGACATTTGCTTGGCCCAATCCCTGCAGTGCAAACGCGACAATTTAAAAGTAGGCGGTATTTCGACAGTTGTATTAACCAATCAGGTAAAGTGGAGAGCTGATATTAATGGCGGCAGCAAAACAATAGCACGTTGGGGCTTGACAGGGTACATATTTCAAAGAAAACCAAGAAATCATCAGGTGATGAAGAACAATCCAAGATGTGGGAAGCAAAAACCCTGTCCACAGTATGTATCTACTGTAAGGTGTGATATTTTCTTTGAACAGAGGCAACAACTGTTTTTCCATTTCTCTTTTCTCTCTCTCAAGCATGAATCCACTTTGCCCCCCCTGGTGTATGAGAATCAGTGTAGGCTGCAACCCCTTTATATACAGTCTATGGCTGCAACATGCAGGTGGTTCAGGCAGTGTTCAGTTCCACGTGTTTTGCTCAATTATTTAGAGGCAACTTTAAAATTGTGTAGGCCAGATATACCTTTTCCCCGTACATTTTTGTTGGCAACCTTTTGGGAACATTCTTGCCTTTTTTCCATTAGATGTACACCTTGAATTGTGTTTTATATTATTGGTTAGTTAGTTAGTTAGTGAGGTCATTCTTAACCCAGTGTTTGAATTATAAAATGAAAATTGGAAAATGACACACAATCTTGTCAAAAGTAATCCCTCTTGAGTTGTCTGAATAGTCGGTATAGTTGAATAAATAGTGTAACATTCTGCTGGTACCAATGGGCTAAAGGGGGAATCCTGCATCTCAAGGACCAATGTGAAAATTGTCATATGGTTAACTTTGAATACATGAAACATTATAACTTTTTGGCAAATACAGATTTCTGAAAATATCTTCTGCTCAGGCACTTTAATCTTTCAGTTCTGAATTGTTTCTGGGATCTGGCCCAGAAACAATTCAGATTCCTATGTCATTTGAGTATTATCTCCAAAAGACTGCAGATACAGTACAGGTTTTCATTAAACTGTACGGAAGCCAATTTGTTGTGAGGCAAATAGAAACATTTAAACCATCATTTGAGCATTGGAACAACTGTTTTATTCAACATAGCAGCTTGGGTAATGGTCATATTCTGTCTCTTAGAACAAAAGACTGGTTCCTGGACATATTGTAAACATTTACATTTTAAATGTATAATTTTGTCTGAAGATTCCTAGTTTTTGGAATAGGGATGATCAAACAGGAACGTTTGTGTCCATCAATGGTGCAACGTCCACCCAATATACCCTTTTCAGCTCCAGGCTGATTTGGACCATTTTTCAAGATATTTTCTAACTAACCCTTCAAGTTATTTATAGTTCATTCTTCTTGCGTTTTGTTAGTCTCCTTACCATGACCCTCTCCCCCCCTCTCCGTCAAAATAACCACACAAAATATGTCACATGACAAACAGCATAGTTATTTATTGAGAAAAAATACTGTACAGGGAGGACAGATAAATAAAGCTTTATTATTAATTAAAAAAAACATCATTCAACTAAACAAAATCCACAGTTATCAGTACTTTGGAAGTTCAAATTTGTACATAAAACATATTTACAAAATGTGTTGCTTTGCCCTTTTTTATATTTGTGCATAAATTGAAAAAAAAATACACTTTGTACCTTTTGTTTTTAGTACAAATACATGTCAAAAAGATCACAGTGCAAAAACTGTAATGTGAGTTTGTAAAATTCCATATACATGTTTTTTCTAGTGCACGCTGAATGATGACACTGCGGAGGAGAGAACCAGGCGTCCCAGCCTCATAAGCTCTCTGATCAAACGTTTTTTTCCCGTGATTTAGCTTATTTTGTTTCAGGCATCGAAGGCTACAGATTGTTTATTGAGCTGTATAACTGTACAGGGGAAACAACAGCCCCACATCCCACAACTGAACTCATTTCCACTCATTAAAATGACAGATGATGAAACCCTGAAGGACGTCATTTCGCCGGATGATAAGTGTTTATTGGTGTTTAAACTAATCTCCTCCTCACAGCAGGATTCTAGCTGCTACCACATGGTGCTGTGATCTATGCTAAGAGAGCATCACCAAAATGAAAAAGATAGAAGTTTTAGTAAATGAATGAACACTGTGTTTACTTTTTAAGAAGGGGAATAGATGGGGATTATGTGCTTGTTAGTCTTTCTAAAGCTTCTGACATCTGAGGTTGTTTAATTAACAAAAATCACTAATACTACAAATGTGACAAACACCATGTTTCTGTAGGAGAACATAATCATTCAATAGTCATAGAATGACTTGTGGCACCTCCTGGTCTAACACATTAAGCATGAGAAATGAAATAAATTAAACAGGGTTTAAAAAAACGTCTTCGACATTTCTCTTTAAATTGGGGGAATTCTTCACCCACAATATGTCAACTACTGCTCAAAGGCTAAATCTGCCATTTTTGCATATAAAATGTAACGGTTGTTCATATTTGTATCACTGAAATTAGGAAAAAGAACCACCAGAAATGCTCCTTTAGCCTAGACCCCACAAAATGCTGCTGCTAGCTTAAAAGCTAACGACAGACAGCAGCGTTTAAGAAAACACGTCTTCATGATTTAGAATATAAACTGGTACATTTTAAAGCCATAGCTAGCTACTGAGCTCTCTATGCTTCAAACTGATATCAAGTTTTCTCCAGTGGAGTCTGCTTGAAAGCTAGTTCAGCAGGCCAAGGCATGGCATGACACGACAAAAAAGCATTAGCTTTAGCTTGAAAGCTATGTTTTAGTTCAATGTCTGTCGCTTTCTTTTAGTTTTTCTTTTTAGGCAGACAATCATTTTGATCTGACTGGTTAATGCATATCAAATATATGTTTGCGTTTTATCTTTTGAAGCAGATCTGTACGCTCGTGCACAAGTACACACCATGTCTCAATGAGGTCCTATTGAAGCTGTGTGATTCTGTATAATTAAATTGCTGTTGAAGAGACTGGTTTTGATGTAAATCTTTAGGGAAATGCAGGATTTTCTTCATGAGTTTGAACAAGTCTCTTAAGAAACATGACTGTGTGTTTGCTTCTAAAGAAGCAGACCAACTGCTGAGAGAGGGGGGATTAGAGGAGAGGAGGAGAAGGGAGAGAAGGAGGGGGAGAATGGAGAGAAGAAGGAGAATAGGGGAGAAAGGAAATTACAGGAGAGGAAGCGAAGAGGAGGAGGAGGAGGAGGAAGAGGAAGAGGAGGACTGCAGTGAGTAGAGAGTGAAAGAAAGTGAGACGGGCTCCTGCCTCTCAGTTTCAGGAGAATTGTGCTCCTCTCAGCAGCAGGATGAAATATTATTCTCCAGTCTGCTGCTTCCTATGAAATGCTTCTCTGCAGAGAATAGGAGGAGAAAATCAATTTGGTGTAAAGCTACGAGATATTATTGTGGAGGAGTGTGTGTCGGTGTGTTATCAGCACCTGCAGGGCTGTACACACTGTTTGGATTAAGAGGAAGGATTCTGGGTAGGAATTAAGAGAGCTATACTTGGTTTTAAAAGTTCAAAGCAGAGGGATTATATGGAGGTTTAAAGTATCTGCTCTTGCAAAAGAAACTTTAAAAAATATTTGTTATTATCCTCATTTCACTTATAATCCAATACATGTATGAATTGTCTTTCCAGTCAAATGTAAAACACCCATATATTGGAACACGTCTAAAATGTGGAGTTCAAAGGAGACTTGAATGCAGATAATTAAGGCCTGTCTGTGCTTATAAGTGGTTTAAAGTCTCCAGTGACTACGTGACAGTCTACTGTATGATTTCCAGCAGGTAGTAACTGTCTGTCTTTAAAGAGTGGTATTGAGTGGTGTGACAGTGAGTTTGAATATTGTTCTTACATGACGTCAAGGTAAACCCGGTGATTGTCTATTATTTGAACACTTTTACAGAAGAAGGGCTGTGAAATATTTTTGTTATTTCTAATATCAAAATGTCGGAAGCTTTTTACGTTTCATAAAAACGTCTGTTGGTATTAAGTGTCTAAATAATACAACTGAAAGTATTCCCGCCGAAAATTAGCCACCTTTAGCTTAGCGAAAGTGGCGTGAAGTCATGTGACTGTGACAGAGTTATTTTATAGCCTACCTTGAGCTTTTTATTTCTGGCGATTGCATTTACGCTTCAATAATCATCAAGTGGTGTTACTATGTGGAGATTATCATGCTGAAAAAGCATTAAAGTATTGTAAACGTGTTTGCCACAGATCTCATTTCCTGCAGTATTCCAATGGAAAAATCCCATTGACTTTCTTTTAAAGGAACCCTTGCAAAGATGACTGCGCCATTTGGTCAAAAGTTCACCAAGGAGCTACTCAATGGATTTTGTTTTATCAACTGATGTCTCCAAAGTAAGAACAAAACGTCAAGTGAAACTAATATTCAATGACAAACACCCTTCAAATGTGTAAAGAATACAAAACTACAAACTCATCTAGCTGTTTTTTTCATTCAAATGTGTCTGGAATAATTCATTCTGAATGCAGAAGTTTAAAAAACGATAACATGATATCTTCATATGATCTCAATATATGTCCTATAGAAGTCCATATATTCAATAGGAAGACATTTGTAATGCTGTTTTTATGGGTAATGCTTATAATTCTGTCTTCTCCAAATAGTCTTTTAGTAGGGTTTTTACTACAAATAACAGTGTCATACTAATCATAGGGAAACCAATGTCCAAATGGTACACTTCTTAATAATTAACTTCAATTAAATGGACATGCAAAAATACGTGAAATGTAGAAGCAAGCATACATACAGTACGGAGCCCCTGAAGTCCTGAGAGATACTCATTTAGAGCGGAAAATTAAAAAAAATAATCTTTAAGGACTTTGAGGGCTTTGACGTAGAGACAATAAAATGTTTAATTTGAAAAGCGCTTAACAACACAAGCCAACATTCACCCGTTCACACACACACACATTGACACACTGTGATGTCAGACTTTCAAGGAGCTTCCCATTTTCCCTGTAATAAGTACCAGATTACTTAAACAATTCTGATTCAATAATTAGGAAATGACAGAAGAAAATACTCATGTATATAAAGTGCATGTTAAAATCTTTGTATTCCTGATCCTGTTGAGCTGAAGTGATTGTCACACTGAGACGATTAAAGCTGAGCACTGATTCTTCTGCAGGGCTCACACGGAGCTAAATTCATACACCACCTATCCCACAGGAGTGATGTCTACATATTGGAGGTGATTATCTGAGAACGTACACTTTGAGCATGAGTCATCGCAGACTATATCTATATCTAGATATCAGACGTAAGGCACTATAAGCAGAGTGTGTCCCTCTGTGACTGACCTGTCATTGGTTGATTGTCTGTGGACACACTGACCTCTGCACAGTGTGGACAGTGAGCAATGAGGCTGGTGCACCATGTGGTGTGGTGGCTGTTACTCCCTCATATCTGACAGCTTGACTGATAAAACTGGAGTTAAAGCAAATGTGGTGACACACAAATCACACTTTAGACTAAAAGTTCAGCCAGCTTCACTGAAGCAGAGGAGCCGCTAGCACCACAAACATTCAGAGTTAGCATTAGCAATACTTGAAAGAAATGGCAGCCATAGAGCGGTGCAGGAATAAGTCCTAAAACACGGAAATAAATTAGCATCTTAGCACTTTGTCTCAAAGTCAACATTTTTTTTAACGTGTTAAGAAGTCTGAAATAAAGTCTGTGATTAACACCAGTTTAAGATATTTTCACGTTTTGTTCTACGACATGAAATATGTCATTAAATACCACAATGTTTGCTAACAAGTGGCTACTTAACGTCATAAAGTCGAACGTTAGCCGCCTTTAGCTTAGCGGTGGTAACCTAACGTTAGCTTGTTTGACTTTTCGTGATTGCATTTACACTTCAAAAGTGGTGGTAAAGTGAGATTAATATGTAGAGATTATTCTGCTAAAAAAAACATGTAAATTTAAGTGTGTTTGCCACAGAGCTTATTTTCTGCAATAATCCAAAATCCAATGGAAAATTACCGTTAGCTATTTGTCAAGGGAGCCCTTGTGATGCTAACTTCCGTTTCTGCCTACAAAAACACGTCATCCCTGCACCACTCTATGGTTGGTTCATGTTAAAGCTACATTTGAAAGCCTTAAGGCACCATGTGACTTGGTCTATCACATGACATTTTCCTATTGGTGTCCTCACATTGATCCATGGCTTTGCGTCACATCTCTAACCGCTGGAAGCTTGTCGGGGAAATTGTTGGCACTTGTGAATGACAGTCATCGGCTCACCATCATGTCCTCTGGTGTCCCCTGGAGGAGGCCAAAACTTCTATTTACCTGGGACACACGCAGGTAAGTCAGACTGTCCATTGTGTCTGACAGGCGGACATTTTAAATCCAAATAGAGGGATAAGGCGTCCTGTTTGTTGCGAGGCCTGCAGTGTGGCTCCTCAGGAAGGTGCATGGTGGTCCAGGTTCTCAGCAGAAGAAGATGTCTCCATCATTCTGAGGGTCTGACATCACTGCAGCGTTGCTTTCTAAAGAGAAATAATGACAGGTTATGATCTGGCTGAGAACATTTCTAGCACAAACTCCTGTAAAAAACGGACCTGTTTCCATGTTTATGCTAAGCTAGGCTAACATAGCGTCATATGTACAGTGCAGACTAAATTGTAAATACAATTGGTGTCAACCTGATTCTCATCAGTGATGATAAAGTAAAAGAAACCCTAATGAAGGCGTGAAGTGAAAATAGATAAGAAGAAAATGGAACCAATTTCCAATGGAAGCTGTCCAACAGATTATATACATTATATATATTTATGTTTTTTCTCAAATAATAATTTATATTATTGAGTACTTCAGAAATTCTCTCGTTAATTATTCAATAAACAAACATTTATTACCCATGCCCAAGTTGCCAACCAGACTTGTTTATTTGAAGTGAAGCAAGATTTTGTTTTGTTGTTTTTGCCTGTCCTTGTTTGTCTACCCTCCCTCATAATGTAAAGCGTCTTTGGGTTCAAGAAAAGCGCTATAGAAATATAATTTATTATTATTATTATTTAATCTTTGGTTGAATACTTGATTCTGATTGGTCAATTCATACATTCAGAGGTCTGCTTTTTTACGATAGCAGACCGCTGCTAAGGAAAGCAGATCATTAAGGCTAAGGCAATGTGATCAAGGGACTATGTGCAGTCATATCAATCCGCAGAAAGAAGTCCGGTCAATTTAATGCCGGCTCTGGCTTTAGTAAACACTAAAGGGAACAGCAGAAGAAGACAGACAGGAAGTAAACCCTAAAGGGAACAGCAGAAGAAGACAGACAGGGAGTAAACACTAAAGGGAACAGCAGAGGAACATAGACAGGAAGTAAACTCTAAAGGGAACAGCAGAAGAAGACAGACAGGAAGTAAACCCTAAAGGGAACAGCAGAAGAAGACAGACAGGGAGTAAACTCTAAAGGGAACAGCAGAGGAACATAGACAGGAAGTAAACTCTAAAGGGAACAGCAGAGGAAGACAGACAGGAAGTAAACCCTAAAGGGAACAGCAGAAGTAAACCTTAAAGGGAACAGCAGAAGTAAACACTCAAGGGAACAGCAGAAGTAAACACTCAAGGGAACAGCAGAAGTAAACACTCAAGGGAACACAGTATGGGTACCGCAGTTCTAGCTGTTGCTTTGCAATAGAAAATAACAACTTTTTTCTTACAGAAAGCAAAACAATAATCTTTTAATCAATAAAATCATGTTGAAATCAATGCTGTGTCATATTATTGATTTATTAAGTAAGCACTGCAGTCGTGTAATAAGCGGGAAATCATCGTACCCGTGGGAGTCTGCTCTTCTTTGCCTTTCTTCTTCCTCTTGTCTTTCTTCTCTTTAGGTTTGGTCAGCTGCAGCAGCCGGGGCAGCTGGGACTCCTTCTCTGCTCCCTGGGGCTTAGAGGAGGAGGACGAGGAGGAGGAGAAGGGGTTGAAGTGTTTGCCCATCCTCTTGGATCCGATGCGGAGGAAAGGTTCTTTGGCGGGGACCGAAGATGAGAGCTCAACCTGAAGAACATCAAGAAAAAGTTAAGTTATTTAAGTTTTCCTAGCACTCATATAGCAACCTACTAAACTGCATCACTGGTTTGTCTTCTTTCTATAAAACCGTTTTAATGACGGCTTTATTTTTACCCCTTTAAGCTGTTCTGCTGCTTCTTTTGAATCTAGATCCAGAGACCAGGTGCTGTGGGACCTCATGGAGTCTTCAGAGGTGGTGGAGGGGGTCCGCTGGTAACTCTGAAGCTGCTCCGACTGTAATGGTGCATCAAGACATAAAGTCATTTACAAGACCTCTGGTCAATCTTTAACCCAGTTCTAGTAGATGTTCTTCTACATTGATTCATGAAGCATCCTAGATCTATCTCCAGGACATCAGGATTACATGAGGTGTGCCACAGTGACATAGAGACACCTCCAACCTGCACATGATGTGCGCGTGATGTACGGGTGGTGTACAGGTGGTGTGATGGTGATTATACTGTTGGCCGAGGTGGCCCTAATGTGAATGATTGTGATGCAATGTTGATACTAAAAAGAAACTACAGTTTTTTACTACTTGAGGTTTATTTTTCGTAGCTGCGACTTAGGTTGAACGTATATACCGACTAACGGCGACTTGTTGAGTTCATTACCAGTTGCTTTCTTTGTTTGATTTGATCATTTTATTTAGCTAATTTAATGGTCTTTGTTGGAAGAACAAGTGAGATGCACCGCTGAGCAGGCAGAACGAGAGAAATTGTGTAAGCAGACATATTTTCACGTACTAGGGTTTATTTGGACCAAAGACGTTGATGGAAAGACTAACCAAGGCGGCTTTCGTAGCTATGGCCATCACTTCCATCAATATTGACAACATTGCAATCCACAACTTTGATAGTTAATATCTGTGAACACAGGCTCAATTCAGACACTTCATGTTGTACGCTATGAACCCCTGTGCAGAGTGGGCATTTTGCCCAGTTAGTGTCTAAAATCGCACACAGCCGTTATGCCCTCATCTGTGTACTCATAGTGCATTTTTCCAAACTGCGCATATGGACACACTTAGGCTTTTAATATAGCACATGTAAGAACAATAGAACGCATATTGACAGGTCGGAACACGAGCAGTCAGGAGACCTAACTCAGATGAATGCCACTGATAATCCATCATAGCGCAGAAACTAATCAGATCAGTTGGTGATCATTATTCTGTTGGTCTATATGGCGAGTTTGTTTGTGTCTGATAGTCTGACTTTTTTTTTAAAGAATCTCAGAAATGCACATAATTACAATGTATCCATTAAGGCTTATGATGTCACCACTACGTCACCATGTAATCATGTCCATCCCATAGGGTCTACACTTACAATTGTTCAGTAATACAGTCATGTTTTGCTGATATCAGACACATGCTCTCCTGCTTCACACTGTACTCTGACCTCTTCTCTCTGCAGGGCCTCCAGTCGCTCCGTGTCTCTCCTCAGAGCGTCCTTGTCTCTCTCCAGCCTCCTCTGTGCCTCCCTCAGCCTCTCCAGCTCTCCCTGGTACTCCTCTTTCTTCCTCTGCAGCGTCTCCGCCTCCTCGGCCAGCTCCTGGTGCCTCTTCCTGCTCTGCTCCTCCTCCGCCTGCAGCCTCTCCTCTCGCTCTGCCAGACATCTCTCCTTCATGTCCCAGGCCTTCTCTCTCTTCCTCTTCTCTTCCTGGTGTGCAGCCTGCTGTTTCTGTGGAGATATTGTATTGTAGATGATCAGGAAGATGCTTCAATGCTCCCTTTATTATCTCCCTATCATTGGATACACTAGACCATCGTTTATGAGAGGAAAGGACATAATGCTGTGTCACAATTTAAATTCCTCGTATTGCAACATTCAAGGTGAAGCACCAACTGGACGTTCAAAGAAACAACCCGATAGTGATCGACAAATGCAGATCGAGTAAGTTACGGTGCTTATCGAGCATCGAACAACTGGCAATAACTTAATAATAACTTGCTAAAGTGCTTATGCTGCTGGATATCTTAACCTATAATAATATATCAACGTTTATTTAATAATTGAGTTATATTTTGTATTAACTAATAATCTGACCATGTATCTGTAAAAGATAACTAAAGCTGTCGTGGAAAAAAATGTAGTGGAGCAAAAATGACAATATTGGCTTCCTAAATGTAGTGGAGTACAAGTATAATGAAAAAAAAGTTTTTAATTAAGTACTTCAGTAAATGTACTTCATTACATTCCACCAATGACGGCATAGTAAATGTCGCCAACGTGTAAGCAATGTATTTATCGCAGAAACTATTATTTATAAAAATAGTTTTATACATACAGTACATTATATGCATCATACAAATTATAATATATAATAATACTAATTATTTTTTTAAATTGTATTTAAACCTTGGTAATGAAGTCATTTTTTCACTTTTGTCCACGTTTTTAAAGCCTGCATGAAACAACATGATAAGAATGGATGACGCGAAGTGTCTGGATATGCCTCTAGTAGTCGGACATTTAGTTTTCCTACGGCAGACGCGTATCAATTACATCCTCCGTAACATATTAATTACGTCGCCTATTGTAATTGCCGTTGTTTTTTCTAAAGTCCAGATGAATTCTTTCTAAAAAGAAAAGTCTTATGAACATTGTAGTGAAAGGTTACCTGCAGGGTGGCCGCCTCCTGGCGCTGCCTCTCCAGACTCCTGTGTTTCTCCTGCTCGATGAGGGAGGAGGGCCGGGAGGAGGAAGAGGAGGAGAGGGAGGAAGACGACGAGTGTCTGGAGGAATTGGCCACCAGCCGCTCGTTCAGGGTCTGCCGCTGGTCCTCGATGAAGGAGTCCTGCTGCACCACCACAGCCTAGAGGGAGGACAGGAGGGTTTAGGATGGATAGGATGAAAGGGTAGAGGGCATGACCTTTGAACTGAGGGCGCTGGTACCTGGAGTGAGATCAGCAGGTCGTGGAGATGCGTCACGCTGTGCTGCACCTGCTGGAGGGACACAGAGCTTTCAGTTATTCTGTACTATGTAAATTAAACACATCTTCACATGATATTATGATGTTATGTCACAGACAAATGTAATGGGGAAAGATATTTAAGTACAAATTCTCAAAACAATGTTGCCAGCAAATGTGTTCAAAAACTCAAGTTAAGTACAAGTACCTCAAGAATGGTACTTAAGCTTCAGTAAATGTACTTAATGTAATGTTACTTTCCAACACTTGCCGGCACGCACCATAACCACGGTCAGGAGGCGGGGCTTCTGGTGTCATAGAGACAGGGAGGAGGGGCCAACTTTGAACGGTGTGTTTAAAAACTGTGAACTACTAATCCTAGCTACTGTACCTTCAAATAATACCGTACCAGAGATATATTATAACATATTTACGTTACGAATTGCTTCATAACTTACAGTTAAAAAGTTGAAGCAGTAAATGAGTGTTTCTGATAACCCTGCAGTGAGTGTTAGAAACAGGCAGCATTCTTACCTCATTGTTTCTCTTCAGCATCATCTGTAGGCTGGCAGTAGCTCCCTGAGGCCACACACACACACACACACACACACACACACACACACACACACACACACACACACACACACACACACACACACACACACACACACACACACACACACACACACACACACACACACACACACACACACACACACACACACACACACACACACACACACACACACACACACACACACACACATTACAGCACATGTTACAGCACACAGTCATGCTGTAATATAATGCTAGCAGAGAGTGTGTCTAGACTGTGAGCAGCAGAGATATTGGAGCAGATATGTGCTTGGCTGAAGCGGAGTGGAAAATGACTGATGATGTGCTGACTGGAATAAAGTGTTCAGAATCAGAATACCTTTATTCCTCCCACAGAGGGGACATTTACATTCCCATTCATTATAGAGGGTCATGTGTTGGTTTAAAGCTATAGTGGGGAGTCTTCTGTTAGATATGTTGACATTCCCTTTATACCACAACAGTTTGTAGAAATGACCTAACTACATACCTACCAACAATCCTTCCTTTATAGCTATCTTATTTCCAACCTTCCAACTTACCTGCTAACCTATCTACCTTTCATCCTTCCTTCCAACCTACTTTATTTCCTTCCTTCGGCCCTCCATACCTAACCTCCTTTCAACCTTACTTCCTTCCCTCCTTACTCCCTACCTACCTTCCTTCCTTCCAACAATCCTTCCTTCCTTTCTTCCTATCTTATTTCCGTCCTTCTTTAAACCCCACCTACCTTCCTACCTACCTTCCTTCCTTCCTACCTACCTGTCTTCCTTTCATCTATCCTTCCTTTCATCTATCCTTCCTTTCATCTATCCTTCCTTCCTTTTTCCCTTCCTAACTCCCTTATTTCCTTTATTTCTTCCTTCCATCAATCCTTCTTTCCAAGTTCCTTCCTTCCTATATACCTACCTGTCTTCCTCCTTCCTTCCTTTTATCCATCCTTCCTTCTTTATTTCCTTCCTCCCTACTGTACCTTCCTTCCTTCCTTCCTTTTTACCCATCTTGCTTTTTTCCATCATAGCTTCCTTATTTCCTCCCTAACAACCTTATATCCTTTATTGCTTGCTTCTATCCATCCTTCCATCCTTCCTACCATCCTATTACCTGCCTTCCTTCCTTCCTTCCTTCCTTCCATCCGGCCTTCCTTCCTTCCTCTCCACTTTATGTACTTGATAACTGAATGTATCGTGGAGTAGAAGTTAAAGTAGCGGAAGATAAAAATACTAAGTAAAGTACATTTAACTCAAAAAGTACTTTGTATTTAGTTATTTTCCAGCACTAGTTTTGATCTAATCGCTTTGACTCGGTAGTTAAGTGATGCCGTGTCTTGCAGGTAATAACAATGTCAACAATAACACAACTATAACGATTTCCTGACTGTGTAAACCTGTGGGAATGTGTTTATTAAATGATGAATAGACGCAGAGATGAATCATATTTTTTGTGAAGACATAGTGAGTGAGTGGATGTTTCACTGAGGCTCTGAACCCTTCCATCTCTTCTGCTCTGTTTATCAGCTACCCTCAGTGACACCGACATTCATTTTTCAAAAGAGATCTGGGAACAAAATGCTGTCCATAAATCATTCATTGTGGAGACACATATATAGACAACACACACGCACGCACACACCTTCTTCAACACGCTGTCTGACTCAGTCCTGCGGAGGTCCAGAGACTCATCCCCCTCTTCTCTCTCTCCATCTGAGGAGGGGAAGAAAAGAAAAGAGGAGAGGAAGGAGAAAAGGTGTTTAGATTTTTTCTCCCAGCAGGCCATGTGGCTGTGGCTCAGGCATGTCTACGGTATTGAGGTGTGTGTAAGACGCGTTGGATGGAAGCATCAGCTGAATGACAGGTAATGATCAAATAAAATCATTGAATACAAGGCTCAATTCAAGGCACACATATGTAACATAACACAAATTGCATTTTATCATCCCAATATGTTTGTAAGTGTGTGTGTGTGTGAGTGTGAGTGTGAGTGTGAGTGTGAGTGTGTGTGTGAGTGTGAGTGTGTGTGTGAGTGTGAGTGTGAGTGTGTGTGTGTGTGTGTGTGTGTGAGTGTGAGTGTGTGTGTGAGTGTGAGTGTGAGTGTGTGTGTGTGTGTGTGTGTGTGTGTGTGTGTGTGTGTGTGTGTGTGTGTGTGTGTCTTACTCTTGCTGCTGTTCATCTGGTGGCTGTCGAAGCCCCCGAAGGTCTCGGCTCTCCGGGGCAGACACACCGGCCCCACAGCGCCCCCTGTCAGGCCGACAGGAGCACTGCAGCCTGCCCCCCCCACCCCACTGCTGACCACCGCGTGCAGGCTCTCCACTGAGACAGGGGGAAGAGCTTTTAGTTAATACCACAGTGTAGGAATACTCTACCTATTAGTTTATCACTGCCTTGAAATCAAATGAGTTATTCATTAATTTCACTCAAGAATATGTTAGTGTTTTCATTTATTTTATCCCTCTTAAATCTTGTTTTTTTAACAAGTTGGTTTTGGATTGAAGGCATATGATAACGGATGTTTCTTTGTATTATTTATACTTAATGGAAAACATGTGTTTTTATTCCATCTATGGGAAAAACAAGTTTATAAAAAAACAGAGCATTAAAAAATACAAAGAAAAATGAATATTCTGTGACATGTAAAAGCCCTTCAATGTTTTTTTTTAACATAACATTGAAGAACCATACTAAAAGTATATGCAATGCAGAATGGCCATTTTCTAAATAATATATATGGTTTGAACAGGATTATAATTAGGGGTGCACTCATTGAAATGTTGACGTTGGTAAAGGTATCTTAAATACATCATAGTTGTTAGTTGGTTTTTATTTTGTATACAAATATGAACCTAAAAAATAACTAGTAACTTGGTAAATAAATGTAGTGTAAAGTACAATATAGCTTCCAAAATGTAGTGTAGAAGAAGTATAAAGTATTCTAAACTGGACATTTGAGCTTAAGTGCAGTACTTGAGTAAATGTACCTAGTTACTTTCTGACTGCAGAGACATGGAAACATTAACGTCTCGCCTCTGGCACAGGGACAACCTCCTTCAGAACCCTGCTCACCTTCTCTCAGGGCGTCCTTTATGATCGGCTCCCCCTTCGTGACATCATCAGGAGTCGCCATGAATAACATGCGCTCCCTGACCGGTGTGTGTCCATCGGGGGCGGAGCTACAGTCACCCAGGTCTCTGAAGATGTGCACCTTTTCCTCCAGCAGAGAGATGATCTGCTCGTCTTTCCTGCGCAGGAGCTCTGGAAGGAAACACAGAAGAATGAATGGATGATATTAAAGCAATAGAACAGAATGTGATCAAATACCATTGGGGGAAGGGGGGGGGGGGGTTACCTCTGATCTCCTTTGCTCTGTTCTCCTGCTGCTTCCTGTCTTCCTCTGTCTCACTGGGGACTCCCTCGTCCTCGTCTTTCTCCCTGTCGACACACAGAGAAGTTCAAATATTATCCAACAAACGTGTGTGTGTGTGTGTGTGTGTGTGTGTGTGTGTGTGTGTGTGTGTGTGTGTGTGTGTGTGTGTGTGTGTGTGTGTGTGTGTCCTCACATGCAGTGCATAGCGTCCTGTATGAATGCTCTCCAGGTGTTCCTCTCGTCCTTGCTGCTGGCCAACACCTCCACCATCTCCGGCCTCTCTATCCCAGCTGTGATGAGGAAGAGCCCTGCAGGAGACACGGCACCATTAACCCAGTTCACTCATTCATATCAACACACTCACAGGTTCCATGTGATCATACTGACCCCGCTCCTCGTTAGCCACCTCTCTGACGATGAGACTCTGTAGCGAGATGACTGTAGAGCGCTGGTCCTGAGGACATAGAGGCAACACATCAGAGTTAGATACTGTGTTATCTTAAACAAATGAAATTGTCCCGTATACATCCATGTCTGTCCAAAATGTCATTTTTGTCTAAAATGTTCATTATAATCATATGATTTCTTTAGTTATGGTCAAATACGAAGGTTACGTATGCCTACAAGCCCAGACGAGGCCCTCAAATGGACCCTTTACAATCAAAAACACGCTGAAATGTGCATTATCCTGGCCAGCCAATCGGGACGAGCCTGAATACGATTGGACCACGCAGTATATTAGTCAGGAAGCCAATGTATATTATCTTACACCCTCTCCAGCAAGCATTATAGGAGAGATAAGGGCTTTGTGTTTATAGAACAAGGGTTATAATGCGTATCCTTGGTTCCAACTCACACAGTCTCTACCCTCTACTGGACTCTATGGTACAGTGGGTGGAGCCCGGACGAGTGTACGCCATATTGATCAGCTTTAGATTGGTCGCCATCACCCACCTACTTTTTTATAACCCAGGCTGGCAGGGCGGAGAAGTAGTAGGCCAAAGCTAACAGGATGTACAAGACTGAACTGTGTAAACCCAGTGGGCGAATCGCTGATCGCTGACAAAAAAAGGACGGCTACGTTCCTACGCATTACCCAAAGAGTCCAATAAAGGGTGGAGTCGTGTGAGTTAGAACTTGTTTTGAAAGGTCCCGTGATATTGAGCGTTAAACACCAAATTGTAGTCTCAACATCCTTCTTTATGCCTTTGGGCGTTGGCTATCACTGGCGCATCAAAATGAAGGACTGCAATGTGCTACTAACCAATGAGGCAAAGGCATATTTCTGGTCTTTTTCCTGAAGAAACACCAACACATCAGACAGGAGCATGGCCTGCACATCTGCAACACAAAGACACACAGATGGTTACAGCAGAGTGGACTAAAGACACTGTTTGTGGTGGAATAGGTAAAGACAAAGGAGCTGATTTCTTTGACGATTCAACCCTCTGCTTTACAACTTTCCTCTGCAGAACAGAGCATGTGTTTGAAGAGGCTCGCAGGCTGCAGACACCGTGTACCTTTGAGTCTCCCTGCAGTGTTCTTCAGCTGCAGAGCTCCGTCATGCAGCAGCTTCCTGCCTCTCATCAGGTCCTCTCTGGCAAACATCTGGCCGCTCTTCATCCTCATGATGGACTTGCTGTCAGTGCGACTGGAGACGACAGAAAACAACGACATGTTTACTTTTCAACTTCACACTAGGGATGGGTATCGTTAAGGTTTTAACGGTACTACTACTTTTATCCATACCGCTTATCAATCCGGTCTTTTAACGGATTACTCTTATCGGTTCTTTTGGAGAAAAATATAAGGTAAACTAACTAAACAAATTGTGAACAAAACTAACATTGCTTTTTATTTAAATTACATACATAATATTTCACATCAAAAGAACCAACAATGTTTTAACAAATGGTATTAAATAATGTGATGACAGAACTGTAAACAGAATAGCTGAAACTTTAACTAAATAAATAGCTCAGTTCCCTCTAATCATGAACCCATGTTTGTATCATTGAGTTAACTCCGTGTGTTGCTGCTAGCATACATAACACCTGACGTGGAAACGTTACTCGTGGACGGGGCTACAGAGCTACTAGAAAGACAGTCGAACCCGGTGCATTCCTCCGTCTGAATGTGGTGCACTTTTGCTAAATGTTTAGACAAACTGCTCGTGTTACCGCCCTCACATGCTAAACTCTTATTGCACTTTTGGTAACGAGCATTGTCCACATGGAGACGGGTAAAGTTTAACCACACCTCGGAGCGCTTAGTTCTCTCCACCTTCTCAGCCGTGTGTGTGTGTGTGTGTGTTGCTGCATGTAGCAGCTGCGTGTGTGTAAACTGCCCCGCCCCCTCGCACACAGATGGGAGAGAGATCTCTCGTCTGGATTGGAAAGATCGAAAACACTAAAAATAACCATAGACGCATTTTGCAGTCTTTTTGCGTATTGGAAACGGAGTTGGCGACACTAAAGCTGCAATATAATGTTTGTGTAGCAATAATACACATGACATGTGTTTTAGATGTCTCCAGTACCGATAAAAAGACCGATAACGTCGGAGCTTAACGGTACCACGGTCTTTAATAATTCAGCCCCGGGGCCCATTTAATACCGGGGCTCGGTACCCATCCCTACTTCACACTGAGTCACAAATAATTAAAAACACCAATTTACAAGAGATCCAGCTGCTTGACTCTGGAACGCTTGATCACATGTCCACATCCAGAAAGGCGCCATCGGGCATTCCTCATGTTTCTTCATCCTCTTATTTTTGATTTGTAATGAATTGTGTGACTTTGTTTCAGTGTAAACAAGCAACTGGAATTTGTTTTCCCCTAAATGATACAATTATCAAAGGGGGCGGGCAGAATTCCACAATAACAAGTGTGCTTGAGAACTATTGTCACTTCGTTCTGTGGTTAATGCTTTGATTAACACAAGTTTGTATTGAGATGGTCAATTAGAAAGCAACACTTTTCTGTTTACTGGTTTAAGAACAAAACAATGATTTAGTTACTTTTACTTGTCTAAGAAAGAAAAACAATTTAAACAAAGGTTACTGGATTTTCTTTCATTACTATCTCTAAAATATGCAGCAGTTGACAGGAGGAAAATGTAATAACAAAACGATTTTCACTCTGAACTACATCAGGTTACGATTATCTTCATAGGCCCCCACTGAACTTCAGACTATAAACTGTGGTGGGCTCTGTCAGACCCTTTGGAACAGAAATGAGTATTGAATCAGTTTTCTAAAGTCACAGTGTGGACGGTTTACCTGTAGACTTCCTTCAGCCTCTGCTTCTTGCCGTGCTCGTTCACCTTGCTGTCCACAGCCGTGATGAGCTCCTTCACACAGCGCAGAGCTTCACACACACAGCTGTGGTCCTCATCAGAGTCTGCCAGAGCACAGAGGAACACATGGATCACACACTGAAGCACAGAGCAGGCAGTCACCCTCTCTCTGGGGGGAATCACTGTTACATTCCTTTGTATGCAGGACGTGTCTTCACTCGTACCTTTAGTGTGCTGCAGAATCCTCTGGATGAGGACGGGGTACTTGGTGATCCTCTGAGTGATCAACAGAATACACTCTGGAATACTGAGCCTCCGCACTATGCTGCTGCTCATCGTTTTCTGCACACACACACACAGAGGGCATTATTGTACCTTTGTATCCACGTAACACCATGCAGATGAATTACAGCTCTGTAACAACCCCTAAAATGTCCCAAAAAGACATGATATGTTTGGATTTGAGATGGGTGCTGACCTTGATGAAGCCTTGGAAGCGTTTATCTTTGGCGTGCAGGTCTTTGTAGAGATTAACCGCTTCACTGTGGCGACTGCAGAACTTCCCGTAGACTTTCTTCATACGATCTGCGCTGCAGCCTGAAAACTGGAGTTAAGAACACTTTCAGAATCCCCTCAGATGACAGATTCTCTTTAATGTTCATTCACATTTCAGTGGATGATAACAATTCAATGTATTGATTGAATGGTAGGACATTCAAACAAGAGGAAGACAAAGTTCAATTGAACTTGAAGGAAATAACTTCTAACCTCTGATGCCCCCCACTGGAGAAAGGAGGCAACAGCTCATGAAGCCTCAAGTCCAACATGTGTATTATCGGGTTATTGTGGTGTGGGGGCATAATGCACAACTTCTAGAGGCTGTCAGTATCATGACAACTTACTGTACATGAAGTGGTGCAAGAAGAAGTCCTAAACCCAAAAATGTGTTTAAGCATTTAGATTTGAGCATTTTTTCAGGTTTTCTTGTCTTGTTTTTTTAGGTTTTGGTTTGATAAGGTCTGTCTATGGTTGATAAAAACGTAAGAAATGTTCATTTTTTGTTTTAGGACATAAACAAAAGTAAATACCCCACTGGTGAATGTCTCAAGCTTTTTTTGTGTCTTAATAAAAGACGGTTGCTAACAAGTGGCTAAACAAGACCACTAAACGTTATCAAGCTGAACATTAGCCGCCTTTAGCTTTGATGGTGACGTGTCATGAGACTGTTGTTTGTTAATAGCGTGACATTGTCATTTCTTCTGGCGATTGCATATATGCTTAAACTATTTTCTGTATTATTACAATATCCAATGAGAAAATGCCTTTGCTTTTAGTAGAGGGGGCCCTTGCGATACTAACTTCCAGGTCAGCCTACGTCAAAAATACGTCATCACTGCACCACTATATATTAACTGCTAATGTATTGTGAGATGACCAGTGATTACCAGGTGTGCAAATGTGTTCCCTGAAGTAACCGTGGACCACCAGAGGAGGTTTCAGTAGTCGGTCTCCCTCCCCATCACAAGAGTCAAGTATCAAACATTATCTCTTGAGCAGGAATCGTGTTGTTGTTCTCCTCCTCTTGCTCACCTGGTTGAGCAGCACATCCCCGATGCTGCAGATCAGGAAGTTGCTGCTGCCCTCTCCCTCAGTGGACGAAGCCTTCTTCCTCTCCAGGAGCAGGGTGAGGAAATGTGTGTGCGTTTCCAACAGGTCATCCAAAACAGGGAAAATCTACAGAGAATGATCAACAGATTTTAATTCAAGTATTTTATTGATGATATCTTATTAATGAAGTGAATTGGTTAGCTTAGGTTCAGGAGCAGGGCCACGCCTCCACCACTACTGGAATCACCAGCTAAGCTACCATTACCGCTCAACACATCCCACCTCCTTTGTCTCCAATGTTCCCTTCCACTCATCCATCCCCCATTCTACCTCGTCTTTACCCACATCCCTACATCCCTTCATCACTTCATTCCTCCCTCCATTCTTTGACCCTACATCCCTCCCTTCCTGTAACCATTCACTCCTCCCTCCTTACATTCTTTCAACCCTCCCTATGTCCCTTCATCCCTTCCTACATCCCTCCCTCTCTACATCCTTCAATCCCTCCCAACATCCCTTTGCCCATTCATCCCTCCCTCCCTTCAACCTTTTAATCCCTCCCACCCTTATCCCTTCCTCCCTACATCCCTTCATACCTCCCTATGTCCCTTCATCCCTTCATCCCTCCCTCGCTACATTATTTCATCCCTCCAACCACCCTGTGACCCATTCAACCCTTCCCTCCCTCCCTCCCTCCCTTCATCCCCTCAACCTCATAATCCCTCCCTCCCTTATCCCTTCGCCCCTCCCTCCTTACATACCCTTCCCCACTCACATTACAGTCAATATGTCCTGTAAATAAATCTAACCAACATCTTGTGGTGGTCCTTGCTAGTGAAACTGTGTGACACTCAGCAGATCCTCACCTTGTCCAGAGTTGTATTGTCCAGCTGCAGGTCCTTGTGCAGGCCTTTGTAGTACACCTCCGACATGATCCTCAGAGTCCTCACATGGTGGAACTCTGTCTGGTACAGCTCTGTGGAGAGAAGATACATATTATGTACACATACATGAACGGAGCATTGACACATACAACTCTTCCTCTGTCTCTACCATAGATGACGTCTTGTTTCTTGATTTCATCTTTCTTCAACGTTTTCAAGAACTTCTTGTCCATCGTTCCGCTCCAAGAATCAGCTTCTAGATCTTTGACGTCCCACTCAAATTCTCCCATCAGCTGACTGTCCATCATCTCAGTACCTGCACAAACGCACACACATAATAAGAAGGGAAACACTTCAGAGACACATTCTCCATTTTTTGTATACAGGTTATCAGTGTGTGTGTGTGTGTGTGTGTGTGTGTGTGTGTGTGTGTGTGTGTGTGTGTGTGTGTGTGTGTGTGTGTGTGTGTGTGTGTGTGTGTGTGTGTGTGTGTGTGTGTGTGTGTGTGTGTGTGTGTGTGTGTGTGTGTGTGTGTGTGAGTGTGTGTGTGTGTGTGTGTGTGTGTGTGTGTGAGTGAGTGAGTGTGTGAGTGAGTGAGTGAGTGAGTGAGTGAGTGAGTGAGTGAGTGAGTGAGTGAGTGAGTGAGTGTGTGTGCAGGGGCGCCGTAAGGGGGTGAAAAGTTAGAACGATTCTAAGGGCCCGTGACTGACAGGGGCCCAAAGAATTTTAGAACATTAAGAAAAAAACGTTTAAGTAACCAATGTGATATCTTTTCATGGGGCCCAAAATCCCTGGCGGCGCCCCTGTGTGTGTGTGTGTGTGTGTGTGTGTGTGTGTGTGTGTGTGTGTGTGTGTGTGTGTGTGTGTGTGTGTGTGTGTGTGTGTGTGTGTGTGTGTGTGTGTGTGTGTGTGTGTGTGTGTGTACCTTCATCAGTGAGGGACTCGGTGGAGGCGTTGACTTTGCTCCCCTTATGGAGCGAGTCGGTGGACTGGGACAGAGACTTCAGGCCCTTCAGTGGAACCTCAACATCGAGCCTAGAAGGGACATAACAAAACATTTAAGACTACAGCATGTACACAGGCTGCTTCACACAGGGAACAGAGAAGGACCGACTGGGACAATAAATACAATGTTTGATCGCTACAGAGGGAAGTAATGAACAAGTGAGGGCACAAAACTCAGCTCTGTGCAGGGAGAAGAGGTCTTAGTGGTGACTTAAAGGAAGTCACTGATGGCGCATTTCCACTACACGGTCGGCCTCGGCCACACTCGGTACGGCTCGGTACGGCTTGGCCGCGTTGGGCCTTAACAGGGCCGACTCACTTCATGCTGCGCTTCCATTACAGTTTAGGAACTGGGGTAGTTACTATAGTAACGCAGTGTAGGCGGAGCCGTGACGTCATCTTCAATGAGAAATCCAGAAACACAACACAGCCGTTAGCTGTGAGCACTCAGAGCTCACAGCTCCTTATATATGTTCAGAAACTCGACAAAAGTTAAACAAGTACAAACCACAGACTGCCTGTGTCATGGTGAATACAGTCGCTGCTTAATTTATGTCTGTATAGGCCGTTGTTGTGAGTGTGGACGGTCGGGGCATATACTGCGTTAGCTTAGCCAATCTCCATCTAGAAAAACACGAATTTTAAAAGGTTTTTCGCCTGCCGTCTGTCTGCAGACTTGACAAAGCATTAATTCATGGCTTTTACTAACCGGTATCAGTATGTTGTTACTTCGGCATCATTTTGAAACGTGTATTACAATTAAATCACGGTCAAATATGTCCATCTTGTTGTAGTTCTAGCCCTCTTGCCAGCGCTCCTCTCTCTAGTTTAGCATACTCAGCCCGACTCAGCCCTGTTTGTTGGCCCCGATAGAACCACAATTTTCTAGGGCCAGAAAAGAGGGGAAAAAGTGGCCCCGCGCCGTGCCGCGCCGGAACGAGGCCTAGTGGAAGCACAACCAAAAAAGGGGACGGCACGACACGGCACGCTTAAAGCGAGCTACGCGCTGCAATGGAAATGCGCCATAAGATAACAAGATGAGGGCTGTTCTTGCAGTTCAAACCCAACACAACATTTAATACAAGTCCTATGATAAAATATCACATTGGGTTGTCAATGTTAATGTGTTATTGTTTGCGATTAATCTGAAACCCTTTAAAAAGAATTAACGAAATGATTTATACTGCCAAGAATGACCCAAACTTCCTCTGCTCATTTCAGCACGAATGAGGAAGCAGCACAAGAGACATGACGAAGAGCCATCACGACCTCAACTATAACTACCAGTGTGGTTGAATCAGAGGAAAGGCATTTTGCTGAAGCATGCGCCAGCTCCTTGGAGTTGCAGAGGAGTGTGAGATACAGTAGTAGACAGGGTCTCCACTGTAGGAACAGATAGTGCTGCAGTATGAGAGCAGCAGAGACGATACACCCTCACATTACACAGAGGGGGATCACAGCGGCTCTCTGTGACAGCAGCTTTGTTTTGTGTCAGGAAAATTATCGGACGTCATGCCAATAATTCAGAAATCATGTTATAATGAAGTTTAAAACTTCTTACCAGTTTGTCATGCATTTCTATATCTACACCACACAATAATTGCTTTTATCTCAAAATACAAGTGAATACTAGTATTTGAAACTTTTGATTATCACAGATTACTATCCCAATTACATATTTTTTGTATAAATTGGCAGCACTGTTACAGAGCCATGGTCAGTTGGAAATTATGATTTACGTATTGTTACGCGAATACGTAACAACTGGTTCAAACTTTTGTTAAAATAACAACACATATTTACTTCAGAAATTAGACGTAAATCTAGACAAATTATTCACAAAGAATTGTTTTTATTTTTATTGTCAAAGTTTTTCAATAACATATTTTCTTGGAATTTACCATTTCTGGAAGTGCAGGATAGAACAATTTACAATTTAAGGCGGCTTTTGTTTACCCTGAATTACTGTTTATTTATAGAATAATTGTGTTATTAATTCTTAAGAAAGTGTTTAATTGTTACATTTGTGTTTGGTTTAATGATGTTTAAAAAGGATGATCATTTTTGGATTTGTTTCACAATTGATTGTTAATGTGTGTTTGACTGAAAGTGTGTGGACCCCAGACAGAATAGCCAATACTAACAGTAGTGCACTGTGTGTGCGTGTGCGTGTGTGCGTGTGCGTGTGCGTGTGCGTGTGTGTGTGTGCGTGTGCGCGTGTGCGTGTGTGCGTGTGCGTGTGTGTGTGTGTGTGTGTGTGTGTGTGTGTGGTTCTCACCCTGCTATGTTGCTGGTGGAGATGCTCTTGGACAGGTTGCTGTGCGGGTTGAAGATGCTGTTGTGTCTCCGTGGAAACAACGCGGGGAGCTGGTCATCAGGAGTGGTTGCCGTGGACCAGCGTTCCCGTGACGAAGACGAGGATGCAGATGATATAGATGATGCTGAAGATGTAGCTGCATACAAACATCAAAGTGGACTTACTATACCAATAGTAGCGAGGAAATACAGATGTATAGTGGACTGAGAAGGCTTTTTATTAACAGTTTAAAAGGTACTGGGCTCCTCCTAGGCTTAAAAAAAACGTACTCGACTCATGTATGATTATTTCTCTACATGTTCAACAACAGCAGTGTGTATGTGTTCTTACATTTAGTCCTCAAGCTAACAGCTGACCCAGGAGCAGCTTCGGGCACTGGGGATGGCTGCTGGGACAAACACAGGACGTCATGAGGTCAACTTTTTAGAATAGTTGAAGATAATTTGTCATACAAATAATTATGATTAATTATTTCAATGTCTATTCATTCTGTATCTTTTCTTCCGCTGATGAGTTAATGGATACTTTTAGAGAAAAAGCCGGTGAGTATCAGACCTACCTTTGTTTTGCTCTTTGTGCAGACAGACAGACTCTCTCTGCAGCACTTATGGACATGGGCTCCACAGTCTGTGAACAAGATCACATCACACATTTTATAAAACATATATACACCAACCCTAATGTTTTATTCATGGCCTGTGATGATATGCTACTGTTGTGCTTTTAAAAATGCAGACATACACTACAGTAAGTAACATTAGATAGGGCAGGATGTCCAGCAGAACTGAACACTATCAAATTAAGCTGGATATAAATGTACAAGGCAGAAGAAGTTATTCTATTTTTTCAGAAACACTGTAGGCTGTCAATTTAGATCATTTGTGACAAAGCCGCCAGAGGAAAAAAAATAACACTGGGCAAACTTTCTCATCTTACATCCAAGTTTCCAACAAGATTCTACAGTTGAAAAGTACACTCAAGTCTGTTTCTGACAGCCTTTCAAAGTTAAGAAGGACAGTCAAATATGTTTCTGATCAATAACGTACAGTAAAACAGTAGACTAAAAGATGTTTCTGACAACATATAGGCAGTAATTGCATCCTGATAAATATTGATCATTTCTGCCAACTGCAGCCTAAAAGCTTCAAATCAGTATCATTTGAAAGCGTGAGTGTGGTTAGTTTTTATGTTTGATCACTTTAGCTGAGGAGCAGTGACATCATAATGAACGAATCTCAGATAGTCAAAGAGTTGCAAAAGGTTCACATCTATTTTTAGAATCACCAGGGTTGACTAGAGAAGGTGGAAAAGGACTGGAATCATACATTAGTAACGTTTTCTTCACAGTCATTTTGATATTATAACACAAAAAATGACTGATTGTTTACATTAACATGCAACCTAATGTCTAATGTCAAAAATAAGTTAAAGTTTAGTAACACAGAAAGGTAGTCCTATGACTAAAGTGATTAGTAGAGTATTTTTACATAATGTCCTTTAAACTAACAGTATGTATTAAATGTATGTCAATAGTGTGTGTTACATAAGTTATTATAGTTAATATGGCATATGAATAAAACTACATTTGGACGTCAGGTTAAAAAAACTCTTCAAAAGTAATTTACAGTAAAGAGCCTGTTTGAGTTAAAAAATGATAACGTGTTCAAAGTTATTTAGGATGTCTGGTTACGTTAATGTGTGCTCACTATCCCCAATAATAAAACATAAATATGATCCTAAAGGTAGACTAATAGAGCAACATCAGAATGATTCACAATGATTCAGAAAGGATCACATGTCAGCAGCTTCTGCTTTCTTCTTTCAGTTTGGAAATGAATGTGTTCTAAGTAATGTGACCGCTGATGAAAGTGAATGTGGATCTGTACCGTGAGAAGAGAAGGGTTAGAGTGAAACTACCAAGGTAACAAGAGGAAGAGGAGGCCACAGAGGAGGAATCAAGAGAGTTGGGCAGTAGAGCGATGGAGATGAGATGATATTTGGAAAACCGGGGTGAAGGGAACAGGAAGGAGGGAGGGTCTTACTGTTGCACAGGAAGGTGTCTTTGCTGTGCAGAGGTTTGGAGCAGTGCAGACAGGAGGAGGGGGCACAGGGACTGACGGGGATGAAGAGGTGACCGTTAGTGCTCTTCTTCTCTTTCTCCTTACTCTCCCGCTCCTTCTCTCCTTTCTTCTCCTTCTCCTGGAAGCAATGAAACAGAGGGATGTTCATACAGAGATCAACAGGTTCTGTCATATTGATTTCAGCAAGTCATAAAGCCTCAGTAATTCACAACACTGCCCACAATATATATCATAATATACTAACATACCCAGAGATACAACTTTATGTATTTTATTATAAACTGTATTATTGCCCAGCTGTAATACTCTCTAACTGTATGTGCATAAGGGAAGGGAAGATGGCCGACCTCTCCCACCCTGAATATAAACAGACAGACAGACAGATTTTGCTTACCCTATCAGGTGTGATTTCTCCTCTCCACCTCACAGAGCGATTAAACCTGTCACTCAACATGACTAACTGCTGTCTCCTACTCTCCTGTCTGTCTGTCTGCTCTTTAATGCTCAGTGTGATTCCTTCTTGATGAAGTCATTGTGTACAAGCTGCTGCTGTCTGGATGCTTTTAAATCAGGAAGGGAGCTCAAGGTGTACCCACACACACCCCCACACACACCCCCACACACACCCCCACACACACACACACCCCCACACACACACACACACACACACACACACCCCCACACACACACACACACACACACACACACACACACACACACACACACACACACACACACACACACACACACACACACACACACACACACACACACACACCACACACACACACACCACACACACACACACACACACACCACACACACACACACACACACCAGTTCCCCTTTTGCAGGATCCTTGTCAACACGTCAGCCCACTGTAAAAAAGTATCTAATGACAAAAACTCAAAAACGTTATGATACGTCATTAGATTTATTATTATTTTAGTCCAGACACTTTTGTTTTATTCTTTAAATGGGTTTTAACATGTTTTTAGCTTGCTTAATATTCTCTTCTCATTTACTGATTTGAATATTTACTTTCACTTCAGTTTTACTTAGTTTCACTTCTTACTTTAGTCTGCTGGGAGGGTTTCAGTGGTGGTTCTAGCACATTTTACACGGGGTGGCATGGGAGGGCGGACAGTACGTGGTATTTTATACTGTATAACCTATTTATTGTTAAATCATGGCCTAACACAAGTGTTCTTAATGCACAAGAGAAACCAGGTGTTCAGACAAACAAACTCAAATATAGTATAAAACAGCAGAAAATACTCATGATACCCTAGAACTCTGTTTACTGTAAGTACAGTAAAAGTACTTAGTTATAATGAAGTACACAAATGACATCACCCATCTCTTCAGAGAGCTAAAGGGGACCTGTGCAGCAACACATTTCAATATGTGTCAATACTAAGAGCCGCTAGATTGTGCTGCTGTGATGGAATATGTATGCAAGGAGAATAAGAACATACCATGTGGTCCAGCTGGAGTCTCCTCTGCCTCCTGATCACTGACTCTGTCCCTCTTTCTGACACCTCATCTTTATTCCTCACATACATTTCTTCTTCTTCACTAATGTCTTCATCTCCTCCTCTTCCTCCTGCTCTGACCCTCCTGGTCTCTTCATCTCTCTTTTCCTTTTCCTCTTTCTGTTCATCCTGATCACTTCTCAGATATGTCTTTGTGTTGTTGTTGACTCACTCCAGCTACTCTGGCCTGCAAGAGTCTACTTGTGAAAAGCACTGGTACAAATGCTTGTATAACTTTACACGTTATGGCCATGTAGCTAATAAGTAGCATAGCCTATAATAAATATAAAATCAGAAAGTGTTTATCAAAGCACACAGGCAGCTGTGTTCAGATCCAGTTTGACGGTAAAGGATGTATCCTGGTTTCATTTATCAGCCTCATTGCTGTGATGTGTAGTTTACGTGGATTTAATAGTACCGCATAGTTTAGCAAATAAAAGTGATCGATCTCCCAGCTAGCGCTGTCTGCGTAGTATTTTGTACCGTAGCGTCCCAAACAGCGACCGTCTGTTAAACGCTATCGATTCAAACGGCAGCGTTTTATTAATATTTTGTTTCAAGCTCTTGTCCTTAGTAAAAACAAAACCAGTCGAAGGGGAAATGCTCCAAGGGGAAGCTGATCCACCCTCAGGTGCTGGGACAGCTCGGTCTCTCTGGAGCGGTGTGAGCCGCGGTCTGTGTGAACACCGCTCCACAGTTTAATGCAGGGCCGTAGCTGCGTTTTTAACGGGCCTAAGATGATATTTAAAATGATTCACTTTTAATTAATGAACTGCTTGTTTTGTTGCTTGAGAAGCTTGTGGACATAGTGTAGGTTTGTTTCTACAAGTACAGTTTTAGGGACACAAAAGTTAGCGGGGCAGCTGGGGGGGCAAGGCTCTATAGTGGGGGGGCAGCTGCCCCCCGTAGATCCGCCCCTGGAGGGTTTCAATATTATTTCATGATATTCATTTAAAGTGGACCTATCATGGTATATTTAAATGATATATTGTAGGGCCATACCTATATAAGGTATATTTATACGTTTCTGTTTTCAAAATACAAAACAGATCATGCATTTTAGCCATGCCTCATTTCGCTGTATGTGCTGTTTGCTGTCTACGGGGCTGATTCTGTGAGCTGCAGCTGACCACGCCCCCCTGCAGGAGAGGGGAGCCGTGCTCTGATCAAGTCAAGAGGGGGAGAAAAAAAGATCTCCGTCCTCCGTGTTTTATTATATTATTATAGGCCTATAGAGTCGTTATTCATTTGTTTTAAAGCTCAATAAATAACAAAGAAGACCTTTGAACGGCACTTTTCTAATTTTGTCCGGAAGATTTAAACTTTAACGGACATCTTGACCGGCGAAAGAAACTGAAACTCTGCCGCACGGTCCCCTCGTTCCTTGGAAGAGGCGGAGAGGTGGGTGTTTGTCATCTGCTGGTGGACTAACCGGAGAGAATTACAGTGCTTGCCTCGACGGGGAGGGATTGCATTGAATTAAAGCAGCGGGAGCAAACGCTTGCCTCGGGGAGGGAGAAAGAAAGCCACAGCGGAGAATAAACAGAAGGGTAACCATGGTAACTATGGGCGGGAAGTCTTCTTCGCTGCTTTTGTGGCAGACTACAGTGCCACTTACAGGCCTGGCATATGTACTACAGCGTCTCCAGCGCTTTCGAGCGGCAATGGCCGGCCGTGGCCCAACCCCACATTCCCCTGATAGGTGGAGAGTTGGCCCAATAGCCGTAGCGCCACTTCTGTGACGACATAGAAGTGTTCAAATCTGGATCAGTTTTTTAGAGATTTGGGTATGGAGGAAAATAGAGAGGGTTGTGTTTTCTGACACTTGGTGAGTTCCCTGGAACACCGGGGACACATATTCATGTATAAAAGACGTACAAAAGTGCATTTTGCATGATAGGTCCCCTTTAAATATACTGTATATATATTTAAATGACTGAGGACCTGGTTGCATGGTGTGGTGAACTGCATGTGACACATAGGTCTCTTTAAGGCCCCGGCTCCACGAGGACAAATACGGCAAAACGCATCGGAGTAACGCAAATGCAACCGCAAAAAACCTTCCGTCCCCACGCAATATACACCGGATTGTGTCAAGCTCCACGAGACGGCTCCGTTTACATCCAAACGCTGGAAAAGCTGCAGTACATATGCCGAACCTGTACGTGGCGCTGTAACTTCCTCCACAAAAGCAGCAACTTCCTCCACAAAAGCAGCGAAGAAGAATGGTTGTCATGGCTGCACTTCTGTGTATTCTCCGCGGTGGGGGCCGACAGAACCGGGCAGAGTTTTTCGCCGGTCAGCGTGTGTTAAAGTTTAAATCTTCCGGACAAAATTATAAAAGTGCCGGTCAAAGGTCTTCATTGTTATTTATTGAGCTTTAAAACAAATGAATAACGACTCTATATAATGATATATAATCATCAAATACATCTCTTTTTCCTCTCTTCTCACAGCGTCAGTGTCTGTCTCATGCAGCAGCTGATCCTGTAATGAGTGACCCGACAGTAAAAATGAACATATTTATAACTAGTTTAGTTTGAGAGGTAATTAAAATAGCTAAGGGTGATGATCTGACTTGAAGTGTGTGTTTTGCTCCCGCTGTATCACAGCGGCAGGAGCTGCGTGTCTCCGTCCTGTCAGATTAGACTTCACTCGCGTTTATGTCCATATCGAGATAAAGATAAATAATCTGAATTCAAGGAGGAGCTCCTGTAGATGTTGCACAAAGAACTGTAGCATGGTCAGTAGCGACTGGAGCACGATAGCAACCCCGCGGGGGAGAGGCGGGGCTATGAAAACGAATGACCGTATAGGCGACTCCACGGCCCCGTTGGACCCCCCAGAGCGCTCCGTTCCCAGATCTATCCACCTTTGGACCCGTTGTCGTTTGCGGGGTCTGTTTCTACGTTTCCCTTACGGCGTCGTGGAGCTTAGAGGGCTATACGCATGAGAAATATGCGGATTCAACCAGTTTCCGTCCTCGTGGAGCCGGGGCCTAAAAGAATGATGATGCTACATTGTTGTGTTGTGTGCAATGGTCAGGCAGGTAGCTCAATGATTGGACAATTTTGGTAACCAAGCATCCTGACCCAAGATGCTTTATTAGCTAACATGGTTTAGTGGTACACTGGTGAAATGATCCCACTTTAATAAAGCTAGGAAATATTTCTAACTTCATTCAGATTCTTCATTAGAATGATTTCAATATTTAGTTTTATTGTTACACACATTACAGTGTGTTCAAATGCATACTGTATATTTTATATTGTCTTATCTATACATAAGCTATACATATTTATCTTTCTACTGTAAATATTAATATAATAAAGGACTGGCTTATCTAAAGCCAGTTGAGTAGCACTTGAAATGTTTTGGCTCCATGAAACCTGATGTACTTATATGATTCTGTTTTCTTCAAGTTTGTATCTTGTTGGTCGAATGCACTTATTGTAAGTCGCTTTGGATAAAAGCGTCAGCGAAATGCAATGTAATGAATGAAAAAGAAAATCTTTATTTTAATGGTGTGTGTGTGTGTGTGTGTGTGTGTGTGTGTACATAATGATGAAGATGTTAAGTCCCTATGGATAGACGCAGCAGCTAAATGACATGTGATGTCCCTTCATATCATCACAGCTGTAGTGTGAATAGTGTACGTGCACGGTCAAACATGTGCACGTGTGCGCCCCCCCGCAGTGACTCCATGTCCTCACCTTCCCTTTCTTGCTCATCTTGCTGCGGAGGTAGCTGAATGTGCGGCTGATTTTAGGGCCTCCTTTCCCCTCAATGTCGCTGCGCAGGGGCCCCGGCTCATCCTCTGAAATACTGACACACACACACACACACACACACACACACACACACACACACACGTTTAATAAACATACCAGCAATTTAATTAATCACTTAATCTAATGTAATACTTTCTGCTTAACCAACATACAGCAATCTCTCTCAGTGAGGCAGCAGTTTTGTATATCAGAATCAGAATCCCTTTATTAGTCCCACGGAGGGGACATGTGCGTAGTTACAGCAGGAAAAAGAGCCACAGACAGCTTAATGTTACATATGTTAAATATGTGACGTGCATTAAACAAAAGTACTAAGTTATGATATAATAAAAAATATAATAAAAAATAAAAAGTTACATAATTAAAAAAATACACATCCTGTAACAGTTCTTAGGATTTAGCAGCCAGGTATATATTACACAGTTATTAACGGCATCTATATATATTGCACATCTAGCACATATTGCACATAGGTGGTTGGTATTTAACAGCAGCAAGTTACACAATTTACAAAATACAAAATACACACCTTGTAGCAGTTCTAAGGATTTAGCAGCCAGGTATATATTACACAGTTATTAACGGCATTTATATATTGCACATAGTTTGTTGGTATTTAGCAGCAAGGGGTGATATAGTCTGTGTTGTGGGGGGGGGGTTAGATTTACGTTTAGATTTACAGTAATTATATTGTGTTTAAATTGTGTTACTGCACAATAATATGGGTTTCGGCATGCCATGCTTATGTAACACTATCGACTAGAGATCTATTACTAATGAGATGGAAATCATCAACACTGCCTTCCCAAACTTTGTAGACAAAACACAGTTTCAATCATTTACAGCTCGAAAAAACTGACATATACATTGCAAGGCTCTTCTAAAAAGCCTAAAAAGAGGTTGGGTCTGTGTAAAAAAATCACCTTCCCATATATCCCCAAATAAAATCTAAATGTCTCTCTTTAATTGACTTTTTGTGTTATTTTTGTATTGTATTGAACTACTAGAACATGAAACTGTCACCCACAACCACTTTTTCAGTTCTGCCAATTTGTCCACAGCACATTTTTAAACAAAGGTAGTTTAAAAGGTTAGCTTTAAAGTTTTCAAATAGTGTGAAAGCATAACTCTTTTCATCAACAATCGGATCATTTGAGCATTATTACCTGTATTCCAGTGAGCCGGAGTTGGGGCAGAAGGAGCTCCCGCCTACAGGAAGCAGAGAGGGACACACATGTGATCAACACAGCTGCCAATCCTTACACTGTACCAGGAATACATATCTTATATCCTTTAATCGTATAAATGTATTTAAGTTATTTAGTTAGAACAGTGTACGGGAAGTTCTGGTGGGGGTGTGTGGTTTGAGGAACCAGGGAGGTCTGATCCAGGAAGTCCAGTCAGAGTTACAGATTAACCTGTTTTTAGCTAATGATAGAGAGTTTATGACCCTAACAGACAGGGTTTTACGACTCTGGAGGATTTTTATGGAGGCAATTATCTCTTGATTTGTCAAAAAGAGCAACAGGTAAACAGTAGTAATAAAGTGCCTATAACACAAGTTGAGTTATTTCACAAGTGGATTATTTGTGTTGTTCAACAGACTCATTTTAGTGAATCATAAAGCTTCCATTTTTCCTTTTCACATATCAAATATATCAGCTCTGAAGAGAAAAGGTGAATAAGAATTGCAAAAACACCAGGCGACTAAATATAAGATTTTTTTTTTCATCGAGGACCTGGAATTTATTCTAGCCCAAGAATGAATGGTAAAATGTAAGTTGCAAAGGCTCCTTCGACAAAAAAAGGTGTATTTGATGTACATGCATTAGTCAGCAGGATAATCTCCACATAAAAACACCCCTTTATGAATTTTTGACTATCATTTAGGCTATAAACCGACTTCATGACGTCGCCAGGTTTGCGTCAACACACTTAGCTAAAGGCGGCTAATGTTGGAATGTTGGATGGGGACGTTTAGTATTCTCAATGCGAGCAACCGACATTTTTATGACACATAAAAGCTTTGGACATACACTAGTGGGGTGTTAACTGATGTATTTAATGTGGTGGAAAAAATATCTCTTCAGCTTGTGTTAACCACAGACCTTATTTTCAGGCACCTAACCAAAGACCCGTTCAAAGAAAATGTGACTTTGAGACATGGGAAACCGCCAATGCTAAAACGCTAACTCATTTCCAGGTTTTAGGAATCATTCCTGCATCGCTTTATGGTGGTCTCTGCATTGAACAGATCTGATACTGACCCTTATGGTAACTCGCTGGAACAGCAAGTGTACCCTGGTTCTTTTTTTTAAAAGCTTTGAAGCGGCAGTGATTCATTTGAATGCATTACCATCTAAATGAAAAGGAGTTTTGATACCAGTCACCTTAACCTAACTAAAGGCAGTTAGAAGGTGTGTGAGAGACAGGTCAAATGGACAGAGGAGACACTCCTGTACTCAACAGTCATACAAACACTGATGCTTTTGGTGCGAGCTGTAAAAGGACGATGGACTACAGGAAGCAGTGTCTCTTCTATCCATCTGATGGTTCCAGGGGGGTTGGACATGTTTCAGTGAGTTACAGGTGAAACCCCCAGGGGGAACACAGGACTACAGTGACATTCATCATACTTACTCCCTCCCTCCTCCTCCTCATCACTGGAGGCTGAGCCAATAGAAAACAGGCGTCTATTTTTGTGGAGGAGCGGGGAGATACTGAGGGAGAAGCTGATTGGTCGCTTTGATGGAGGGAATCCTCTCACTAAAGGGTATGATGGGACGCAGCGGGGGGGGGCGAGAGAACACACTTATTGCACAGGATGGAGAGAAGAACATGGACAGGATGTAGGGAGGAGGGCACACTCACCATCTAGCTCACGCTGACTGATGGTAACCATGGAGATGGATTTGGTGAGGGTTGGTGGCGGGAACATGACAGGACAGCTGTTGGTCACTGACAGCGCCTGATGGGAGGGCTGAGGAACACACACAATATTTAATATTAATTATCACGATGGATCCTTTCATTTAAACTGTGACCTGATACACACTGCTGTGCTCATATTATAAATAGTTGTCTTTTCATAAAACTTTATATAACTAAATAAAATAAGGAGGAGGAACTGCCACTATCATTCTATTCCTTTCAGAATAAAATCTCATACATTTAGCGAAACATAAGGATATGCAAATATGTTCCAGATACTGACGATATTGAATAAATTCATAATCTGGAAAATTATTGTTAACCTTTACAGTTCATACTTTTATGGAATGTTCAACACCCACACAGATATACAAAGACACAGACACACAGAAAAACACACACATACACAAACACACAGAAACACTCAGACACACAAACACGCACATAAACAAACACACACACACATACACAGGAAGACAGTCACACACACAGTCACACACAGTCACACAGTCACACACACACACACACACACACACACCCTCACCTGGCAGTGTGTGTGCTCTCCTTCCTGCTCCTCCTCAGTGAGGGACAGCAGGGAGCCTCTTCTCTCCTGCAGGTCCACTCTCACACTCCTCCCTGCAACCCCCCCCTGCTGCTCACTGAGGGGGGGGCACTGAGCCGGCAGCACTCCCCTCTCCCCCTCCAGACCCTCCAGGCTGTAGCTGGGGGAGAACAGAACAACACATCATGTTACTAACTGTCCTCGGACATGAGGCGGTGCAGTGCACGGTTTACATTCTAGTTAATGCTCCGAGGGGGGGCTTTATCATTAAAGACCCCTGCTGTTTACCTTCTGCTGTCTATTTGCTCCTGATCAGGGCGACGCAGGTTGGATGGACACCAACTGATACTGCAGGGATGGAAAGATGGTGGAGGATAGAAGATGTCAGAAAAGAGATAATTAGTGGATAAAATGATGTTTAAATGCAAATGAAGTTAATGATGGTGTTATCATGATGACAGAAATGTGGCTGTGGGTGGATGTGGCTCAGGGGATACATGGGCATTTACCAGTCAGTGTCCTTAGGCGCTTTCACACCGCAGTACTTTTCCCACAAAGGTTCATCAGAACTTAGTTCATGAGAACTCTTTAGTTCTCATGAACTAAGTACAGATCGCGTTCACACCGCAATGAGTCCCTGGGGAAGGATTAGGCAAATGAAGCCGCTGACGTCACTTCTTCTTCTTCTGCTTTGGGTTTACTGGCAGGCCGCAAACAACTTCACGGCGTATACTGCCACCCGGAGTCCCCGGCCGGAAGTCCCCGGAGTTAGGGACTGGCTTCAGAGTAAATCGCCAGAACGCCGACACCTCCTCATCTCCACCGCTCCCATGTTTTCTTTTGTGTTGCCATAAGTTAGTCTCTCTGCGTTTGTGCGCGGGGCTAATGCTAATGCTAATAATGCTAATGTGAGGATAATAAAATGGCTGCTTCACAAAACCTTTTGGGAGTTTTACAGGGCGTGGTTTGCATTCCGCCCAGCCAATCAGACATAGGAACCTTTTTCGCCCACGAAAGTCCCTGCTCTCTAGCAGGAACGGAAAAGGGGGTAAAAAGGTTCTCATGAACTCATTTTAGTTCCGGATTTTTTTGGTGTGAAGTTACGCAACATTTCGGAACTATATCGGAACTAAAGTGGGAAAAGTACTGCGGTGTGAACGCGCCTCTTGAGCAAGCTACTTAATCCCAAATGTCTATGGTATTGAATTGTTTTTCATTTGCTTCGGATAAAAGAGTCAACTAAATGACAGGTGATGTAGAAATACTGAGTGACACTTTGAGTCTGAGAGGCTGCTTGCATCTCAACTCTTTGTACACATTTTTGTAATGGGGTCATTTCAATTAGTCAAATCAAATTGTGTAAAAAGAGTTATTTTCTACATGTATTAATATGAATAAGAATAATAGCTTAATAGAAATATACTGTATACGCATCATTTAAATATCTATATATCAATGAAGCTCCCTCAGTCCATAATGGGGAGCTAGCTCTGTTCTACCATCAATTACTTCTTCTGTATGAGAAAGTAAATATCATAATACAATCATTTCTACATTGAGTCTCCACCAGGTGTTTGACTTGCTCTGGTCATTCATGTGAGCCTGAAAGAAGCCTTTAGTAACAGCAGCAGTAGGAGCTGTGTTTCCTTAACAGCAGACAGCAGCAGTGAAGAGCAGAATGTGAGGAACACAGTGATGTGAGAGGGAGGGGATGTACCTTCTCCTGTGGAGGGGGGGCTTGGCTCTCTGCATCTCCCCTGAGAGGCTCTTCATGGAGCTGGAAGAAGGACAGATGGACTGTTAGTGCAGACAGAGGATAAACTGAAAGAATGGAGCTGAAGCCAGACTCTATGACAGAAAGCGCTATTTTTAGATCTCATTAATGCACTGAACTAGCTAGCCTTGGTTTGTGTTGGTATTTTCTTTACATGCAATATGCTCATGTTAAAGCCTTCAAAACCTTTCAACTCCTTTTCATAGTTATTAATGTAATAATTGATCAAAGTTCCTTATTAATAGTTCACGGCTACTTATTTTTAGCCATGGATGTGTATTTATATGTCATTATTTTGTATTACTAATGTGTGCTTTTCTCTATATGTTAGTTTTCTATTTATTATTGCCTTTTATCTGTTGTGTCACTCAAATATTTTTACAAGACTATTTTATGAGGCTACACAGATGATATGACACAAAGGTGGTGCCCCCATTGAAGATGTAATGATAACTTAATGATTCAAAACATATGAAATAACCCAGGAAGCCTTCAGTATGCTGAAGGCCGGACTCAGTTAAACCCAGTACCTGCGCTGTGTCAGGTCCATGTCTGCGGGGGGGTTGTTCGGGGCCGGCTCCCAGCTGTGGCGTCTCAGCGGAGACACGGAGCGGGCGGAGGCTCTGGAGATGGCAGAGTACACTGGACTTTCTGAGAGCTGGTCCTTTTTCTCTTCTTCCTCTTCTTCTGGTCCTTTTTCAACCATTCCTCCTCCTCCTGTGATTCATCACAGAAACACAAAACTGTTATCCACTGTGACTCTTTTGGACAATAGTTTTCTAGGATTACGTTTGGGACATCTATGTCTTAGTGGATGGTGAAGGAATGAGTCCTTAAACACAGAAATTAGTTTTTTCCACTTCAGCTTCCTCGTCCCGGAATCAATAGTTTTCATACATGTTTTTGGTTGGATGCCTGAAATATGTGCTAGGAACATCAGTGACTAAACTTTATTCCTACTAATAAGTAGAATACGTTTCTGGGCCAAGATCCAAAGTATACATGGTAAAATAGACATAAACAAAGTATGTATACTATGTATAAATACAGTTTTTTGTGCCCTAAACTCAGTCTAAGGACTCAAGATACAGTAGCTTTTGGTTCCTGTAGCTGGTGAACCCATGATTTTAGGGTCCCTAGAGCTAACCTGAAGGATTCTCAGTTAGCATACAGCGGCTGGACTTCTAGCTGAGCTAAATATGAGCTACAAGCATTCAGCATTAAAACTTCCCGCTGTTAACACTAAAAGTAGCTCCTTGCGACAGGAACACTGATTCCTGCTGTTGGGTGAAAGTGTTACGTTTTATAACCCTTAATATGTTTAACTCTAACCCTAAATTCCTTTACAAAAGAAAACAGCTGTTCCTGGGAATCGTACAGGAACAATGTGTGTGCTTTACCTCTGTCCTCTGTTTCTGACTTCCAGGACAGCCTGGAGCTGCGGGGGGCAACGGCGTCAGGTCTGCCCCCTGACAGAGCCCCCTCACTGGGGCTGAAGGCATCCTGTGTCAAGGCATCATGTGTGGAGGACCGCGAGACACGCATCCCTCTGTCCCAGTGTCCAACACGGGGGGGAGGGTCTTTAGGCTGCAGAGGACGAGAGGACATCAGAGATAAATACTATATCCATAATTCAGAAACACATTCATGCCAGTGAAACTTCACAAAGTTGTGCTTATTGAGAACTTTCCACTACTTAAAATATTTAAAAAGAGAAATAATTGGATCCAAGGTTTTTTCTTTTGGAATTTTCAAGGAGAAGCATAAATAAAGTAAAAATTAGTTAATACTTATAGTCAGCAGCTCATCAAGCTGTCCATTAGAAAATACGTCTTACATATGAAAGGCTAGACAGCATTTCAGACCCCTATTCAATTATGTTAAAAATGTTGATTTAATATATGATAAACGGTCAACAAATTGCAGTACAATGCAGTTTAAGAGCTTTATGACTTGTACGCGCAGTAATGTTTTAGAAACATGTAACATTTTGAACCTTTAAGAATGAATATATTCTCCTGCTTACTAGATCATGTGCTATACAGATGAAGCATGAAAGATTGTATTTTAGCTTGTTTTATGTTTTTTACCTTTGTTGTTTTGTTTTTTTTTCGCTTTTTGTGAAAAAAGCAATTTTGGTTGTATTTTAGTTTGTAAAAAACTAAAAATGTTAGATTTCTTTTTTTAAATAACAAAAAATAAGGAAATGCCATTCAAATCACATTTGATCTCTCTATGCTTGTGAGGACAAGGTGTGATTGGACTTGAGGCTCCACACATACACTCCCACTCCTACAACGCTCATGTTGTCCAAATCCCATAATTTCTTTTTAAACTTGAGTGTTGGAGTCAGATTTCAAAGGATCCTGTAAGACCAGGTTGTGGGAGAAAGAGCAGCCACATGTAGGATTATGAGTGAGTGTAAAAGGACTCTTCCAGAACAAGTGACTCACACCGAGCTTCACTGATCCTACTCGCATGTTATAGCACGCACACGTTTAACAGCTTAATGAATGTGGCAATCATCAATGGAAATGTTATTACTGTTGATCCTTGACAGTAGAAGGACTACGTGTCCTGTTGGAGGCGGGGCCCTGTTCACTTCTATGAATGTTTCTCAGTGGCACATGAAGCCGAAATGGCCTCACTCTCAAGAATAAAAATACCAAAACCTTTTGCAGATCTCCTGGCGATCTTCCGCATCTGTCGGGCCCATAGAGCATGCCCACTGGAGTTTTCCTTAAGCCCCGCCTCTAATGTGCTCAGTCAAGGCAGAGTCACAGCCGCACGAGAAAGTATCTTGTGCGCACGAGAAACTAACCCGTTATCCCGACTTATTTTTTTGGAGAAAGTTAAAACCATTTCATTGCAGACTGTTATGTTTACGTGGGGAAATGACAGTGCATACATTATTTGAGGGGGGGGGGGGTGTGAGTGAACTGTCAACGTGGGGGGAGCCTCGCTGCGGGGAAACGGTGGACCTCTGTCACCTGTCAGCGCAACTTCAATGATGCCGTTTAAAAACATAAAAATGTAAGGGCGGTGCCGGCCGTCAGCGAACCGAGCCGGCCGTCACCGGCCCTTGACGACTGGCCGTTCTGTGATTCTACAGATGGCCAGTCTGACACACACACACCTCTACACACACACAACACACACACACACACACACACACACACACACACACACACACACACACACACACACACACACACACACACACACACACACACACACACACACACACACACACACACACACACACACACACACACACACACACACACACACACACACACACACACACACACACACACACACATCGAACTAGATCAAAGCAGACTGGTTTACAGACTCTCCTGTTTTGCCAATCCGGTGCTTAAACAAATAGCTCTACACCCCTGGCCGAAATGTCCATACAATTAAGTCTGAGTTCGAAATATATCTCAAATAATGTATACACTGCCATTTCCCCACGTAAACATAACAGTCTGCAATGAAATGGTTGTCTCCTGTGTGCTCCACTTCCTCCTTGGCGCACCAGTAACTTTCTCAACAAAAAAACCCCGCAGCTGTTTTATAGGGAAACAAACACTCAGAACACATACACACAGAGCCAGTGGCGGACTGGCCATCGGGACATTCGGGACGAATCCCGATGGGCCACTAGGTCCACCATTTCCCCGCAGCGAGGCTCCCCCCCGTTGACAGTTTACGTGGGCTGGGCTGGGTGAGATGCCCGGGCTGATTTTTGGTCCCAGTCCGCCCCTGCACAGAGCGGAGCTGAGCAGAGCACACACACACACATCATGCGCCTTGGTGACCGGACATCTCCTTCATAAAACTAATGAAAGGGGGAGTAATCGGGCAGTTCGATGTGTGTAGAGGTGTGTGTGTGTGTAGAGGTGTGTGTGTGTGTAGAGGTGTGTGTGTGTGTAGAGGTGTGTGTGTGTGTAGAGGTGTGTGTGGTTAAAATGTAGCAGCCTGCGGTCACTCTTTAGCTGTTCGAATGAAGGTAAACACAGTGTAGGCGGTGCGTAAAAGCTCTTTGAGAGCTGGTGCTGCTCTTCTCTGAGTCTGAGTTACACGTCCCGCTGCCTCCTGGAGTGACCGCTGGCTGCTACGTTTTAACCACACACCCCTGGCCGAAATGTCCTTAAAATGAAGTCTGAGTATGAAATATATCTCAAATAATGTATGCACTGTCATTTCCCCACATAAACATAACAGTCTGCAATGAAATGGTTGTCTCCTGTGTGCTCCACTTCCTCCTTTGCGCACCGGTAACCTTCTAAAAAAAAATCCCATGTCCCTTTATGGGCTCCGTACTTTCCCAATGTAAGTCAATGGGGGAAAGTATGTTTAGGTCCAATGACATCACAGACTGAAACTGAAGTTGTAGTACCATTAATGGCCACTACGAAATAATATACTTCAATGCCTGGCTCTCGTCCTGGGGGCATGGTTCTTTTCTTCCACGAATGACATGTGGAAAAGCCAGTCAGCTGCTTTTCTCTGGTTCCTGCCAAGCTGCACACTGGGAAGTGTTTCCTGTCTGTTGCATCAGAAACTCATCCTGGTTCATTTTAGAAGAGTGCAGCAAAGTACAGAGCTGCAGCAACACTGTTATTTTTCAAAACCCTGTGTCTTTAAGTTTAACAGGGGTGTGTGTGTGTGTGTGTGTGTGTGTGTGTGTGTGTGTGTGTGTGTGTGTGTGTGTTTCATACCCTTTTAAAAATGCTGTCATCCAATGCTGCACTGAATTTCCCACCGTCTTCGTCTTTCTGCAGCAGACACTGCGACACGCGCTGCCCTTTTTCTGGATGCAGGTCTGGAAATAAGACGAGGAGGAGGAGACAGAAAAACGAGGCTGGCTCAGTGATCGAGGTAATTAAATGTAAGATTGTTCTTTAGTAGAATATTTGGTGCCATGTCTGAGCAAGTAGCTTATTGCAGCGCTGGGTGCAATGCCCCAGGACAGGAAGTTGACCTCATATGAGCCAAAGCACAGAGAAGTGTGTATGTGAGACAGTGTCTGTTTCATGATTACCTCATACTGTCATTCTATAACAACATCATTACAACTATTACTGCTAGGCAATAAACCAAACAAGAAATAATCAGCGTCTACAATTTGCATGAACATTTTTTTTTGTTAGTCTGTCTTTCCGTCTGAGCATGACCTAAAGGGAAATTGTACTTTTTACGTAGGCTAGGTTTGAAGATAAATGGTGCCTGAAATGCAGTGATTGTCAGCTTTTAATTGCTTTAATAATAATTGAATGGAAAGTAAGGAAGCTGTCCTCTCGGTGCAGTGTTTACCTGTGCATGTTGACACTGTGCTGGGTTCAGGGCAGAACACATCTCTCTCCCTCTGGATCTATGAGAGAAAAGAGAAATTGAAGAAGACAAGCATAATTTCTCTGATGAACACACCTAGTACATACACATTTAAGTCATTTCATTGTTCAGAGAACTTGATATGTTTCCAATGGGTTCCTTATAGCCTCCACTGGTTCACTGCAGAGTATTCTATGGCAGTTAAAGGAGCCAATTTACTTTTCCAGTCTTAGTGACCCCTCAAAATGTCATCATAAACCCATTCACACACATTCATTAAAATGTCATGTAAACTAACCTACACACACCATTGGCCATTCCACACACCAATCAATCCAAGCTAACGATCCACACTAACCGATACACGCTCACAATACAAGCTCATAATACACCATTTCCAATCCACGCTCACCGATACACACCAATATATACACACACATGATATAGCCTACTGAAACGTGCTCACGACACACGCTCACAAAAAAGCTAACCCAACCACAAAAATGATAAACACTAACCGATACACTGTCATGATGCAAGCTCATGATATAGCTAACCGATACACACACGCAATACACACTAACTGATACACTGTCACGATACACACTAACAATACAGGCTCACAATACACACTGATGCACACTTACTGATACCAATCAACTATACATGCTAACCGATGCACACTCACTGACACACACTCACATGTCATAAGCAAAGGACTGTTCCACCCCTGCAACCAAACACAGCCAGTTCAGTGTAATGTCGGAGGGGCGTAGGGGGGCTTCTCTACAACACTTATGTGTTTTTGTATAACACACACACAAAGCACAGCTACACAGACACAATCTGAAACAGCATTGTGCAGTATCAGTATCTGATTTGAGTAGCAAAATAACTGTTTTTTTCCGTATCGCCCTCCACCCCTTAGAAGCGAACAGATTAAAGACTAGTCTAGTTACAGGGCATTTGGAGGAGGTTGAAAAACACACACGAGATCTTTCCTTTGGGCTTAATGTTGTATACAATTAAGTGTTTTACGGATGAGACAAAGGCTGATTGAAATATATCCAATGCTGGATTTGAACAACCTGACAGGAATATCAATTCTCCCAATGGTCTGTTGTGTAACTTCTGTAGGCCGAGCCATCAGAATGACCTCATATTTAGCTGCGATTGTTGGTCACTAAAGCCAATGAGTCCTTTGTCCCCTCGTCCACTTGTCTCAATGGATCCGTTGTTCCATGTTGCCTGCTCTGTCTATTATCAACATCCTGCAGAAGAAGAGAGATCTGCACAACAGGCGGCATTTATCCATCCATACCAGAGTTGCATATGTTTTGGTGTGAAGAGAGGAGAAAACTGGGGCTGGACCCACTGTCTTACAGCACTGAAACTGAAGTGAAAAGCTGAAAGAAGAAGCAGTTACAGAAATAAAACGCAAAGAATTAAGAATAAAGAGCCGGGCTGCAGTGCCAAAGAAAAGCACAGCATCTAAAAATGATTCGCAAGACTGCTAATGGCTACAACAATAGAAGCACTATCAACTGGACATCCAGGCAGAAGTATATCCCATCAGTATCCAATCAAACAAGTGGCATTGAAGTATCAAGTGGAGGCACACACATATTTGATACACAGCCGAGTTTGGATCTGGCATATCCAATCCCGAAAGATGGATTGAAAAGACATATGTAGCCTCCGTCATTATATCTCTTTTTCCTACATCTGTATATCTCCATCAGTACGTCTTGTTTATCTCTACCTGTATATTTCTATCTGTATGTTCTCTATATCTCTTTCCTAACATCTTGGTCAGCATCTGTCTTTTTGCATATGGATTTTTGGAAATCCCCGTCAGTACATCTCTTTCTGTATATTGCGTCTATATATCCTATTCAGTACATCTCAAATTTCCTTTCTGTATACCCATCTGAATATATCTTTCTCTATATCTCGGTTTGTATGTGTCTCTCTGAATATCTAACGTGTGTTTAGTATATCTCTCTGTATATCTCCATATGTTATCTCCTGTTTCTACCTTTAGTATATCTCTCTGTCAGAATGTCTCTATCTGTATCCACCATCACTATATCTCTTTTTGTATATCTCCTTCCTGTAAGTCATCTCTGTCAATTCATTTAGGTTTGTTTAAAATCTTAAGATCCTTCAGCTAGAGCATAGTCAATACGACTTCCTCTAGAAAGTAGAAATCATGTTAATCAACTATGGAGTACCACCAAACCATTTCTGCTAACGCTTCAACACAACTTTAGTATACTAGCTTCCATGACATATGAAAATACATGAACTCACCATGTCATCCTCACATCTCTCTTAGGGAGGGTCTGAGACGAGAAGGAGAAATGCGAGTGAGGGAAGCGAGGAGCCAAATGGAAAGCAAAGCCTGTCGCCATGGCAAATTTGTATTTCCTGTTTGCATCACCCGAAGTTCAAAAACTAAAAAACTGTAAATCCAAAAATAGAGAATAGAAATAACTCAAATATCAGAAGTGAAAATGCGTTTTTCACCGTTTGCTGTACTACGATTCAGAAAGTCTTCTCTAATGATACATCAACTTGAAACAAACAGGCAGAAAACTCAACTCTACTAGAGTTTTAGATATATATTGACATTTCTGAGTAGCATTGCCACTATATATGACATGACTATGAATATAACAATAATACACAAAGGGTCCAAAGCATGGATGTATAAAGATAACTGGATAGAGTGTTGGAGGCGGAACAACATTTATTTCTATGAAAGTTGCTCAGTGGCGCCTGAAGCCAAAATAACCTGACCCTTAAAAAAACAAAATACCCAGATCTTATGGAAATCTGGGCCCATAGAGCATGTAAACTTCCTTTTTTCTTAAGCCCCGCCTTCAATTTGATACGTCACAGCATCGTCACATCGGGTCTCGGCTCAGTCAAATTAATAGAGAGGAAAAATAACTCTAGATTTGGCGTACCGGTAAGTGGATTTAGCTAAAAGAAATTATCCAATGATTTGTAGGACCCAACTGTCACAGAAGTTGTAGTATAAACGTTTGGATACTACCAAAATTGGCATCAACACCCGGCTCTCTTTCTGGGGACTTAGTCCAAAGGCTTAATGGATGCCTCTATATGGGTTACAGAATGAAAAATATGATCTGGTTTACACACACACACACACACACACACACACACACACACACACACACACACACACACACACACACACACACACACACACACACACACACACACACACACACACACACACACACACACACACACACACACACACACACACACACACACACACACACACACACACACACACACACACACACACACTCACTCCTACCTTAATGAGCACCACATCCACAGCCCTCTCTCCCTTGGCACAGAAGCTGTACCTCCTCTTGTGTCTCTCATACATGCCGACAGCGTCTGCAGCTGAGGTTCGATGTGTCAATACAAGAGCTGTGTATGAACCATTTCTGATTCTGATTCTCCAGTTTAATCCTCAAATATCACACCTCCTTCTACAGTCTCTGCTTTCCGTCTTGACTGCCACTGAGTCAGAAAAACAAATAGCATACGTATAAGATCGGCTGAGGGTGGAGTTCCCAAGGAGAAAAAAAAGATCCAACTGGCAGTTTCCAGAGCGGCAGGCTGCAGATTTTCTTGACACCATAAGAAAAAAGCAACAGGCACGAATCAACTGTTACTTAAAATGTTTGTACCGCTAACAACGCCGGATCATAGTGACTTTAATCTTGAGGTCAAAGACTCCAAACCAAGATGAAAACTCCAGAGATAAACCAAAATAGGTCCTGCACGACTATGAGTAATCCAGGAACGTTTCTGGTGTTCCTTCTCGCAGCACTTTGGGTTGGAAAATGAGCCTCTCTGCCCACATCTGTTCGTAGGAGCGGCCCCTCCCTCCTTCCCACTCTCTCTTCCCTTTTTCCTTCAGGCCCTCCATTCCTCTAGCTCTCTTTTTCTCTCACACACGCCCATCACATCTGTCCTTCACTTTGAAACAAACTCGCTCTCATCCATTTGCTACTTCTCTGCAGCTCCGTCATGGCGCAGGAACAATGGAGCTCTATCTGATAAGTGCCTCTGCACTGTGAGAGACAGAGAGACCACTTTTATCCACAGGAGTGGGGGAAAACAAGGAGTGTGCTGCATGGAGGTCTTTATTGTGATGTTCTTCAGTGCTGTGGTAATTACATATGCTTGTGTTATAATCAAATGGTACACCCATATGCAGGATCAAAGCAAACACTCTTATTCATCTTAGCTGAAGCCTTTATCCAATCAACCGTTAGACACGTGACATTTTCATGAGATTCTTTTCATGAAAACAAGGAATTATTTTGCTCTTCTTTTTTTTGCGTGATAGTGGCGGTGATGCAACTGTACTGGGGCTTGGTCCCCAGGCAGAAGACCGGGGTTCGAATCCGTCCCGGGACTATTTACCGCATGTTATCTCCTCTGTCTCCCCGTCAATTCCATCTCTACAATAAAGTGGTCACCCAACAATATCTTAAAAAAATGGGGCCAACAGGGGCAAGTGCCCCTTTAAACACCAAGTTTGGACCCCCCTGTGGCCCCCCACCAAAATAAACATCTATAATAAAATACAACTTGTGATAGTGGTGTAGCAAAGGCCGTGCTGTAACCTGGGCCAAAGTTAACAGGTTTTTTTTAATCAATATAGTCATTTGATCAATTAAAACTAAGTTACTGAAACAAATACCAAGAAATTAAATAAAAATAGAATTAAAACAAAGTTTGCATATATACATTTATTTATAGTATAAAAATGTACATACAAATGTATATATATATACATATGGTATGTTATGTTTTTTAGTGCACGATGACTTTAAACTCAATTTAAAAAAGTTGAAATCTTGTACACCGTCTTTGTCTTCTTTGTCCCACAATAAATGTGCCCCTCTCATTACAACTGGCCTAAACCAGGAAACTCACCACCACCTTTCATTACATTACATTACATTACTTGTTAGACGCTTTTATCCAAAGCGACTTACATACATTCAGTACTGAGGACAATCCCCACAGGAGCAATTTGGGGTGAAGTGGACACAACGACATGCTGACTGCAGTGGGGTTTGAACCTGTGACCCCCTGATCCCAACACCAAGGCTCTATCCACTGCGCCACACGCCTAGAGACATCTCTATCACATGTCTTAGGAAGGGACATGAACCAGTGAGAAAAAACCAGATCAACACTTAATTTGTATTAATGCTATTAAAATGGTCTTTTTGCCCCAGTGATTATATATATTTTGGCTGGCTGTAAGGACTTGACAGAGAGACAGGGACATGAGGAAGAAGTTATACATGCTCTGACCACAAGGAAGCAGCAAAGGAGTAGCAGCCAGACATAAAGACACACAAATGTCATACCTGGGTGTCAAGTCTGGGGTTGCGGTTGAATAGTCCATTTAGCTTAGGAACCTTCCTAACAGAGTGAAATGACCCGGAAGTCCCTCAGTGGCAGCCATGATAAGAGCTGTTCCAATTCTCTAGTCTAGATGATAGGAAAGGAGGTTTCAAACTTCCTTTATAACCTCCTTTAGCTTAGGAACCACTGGACCTCCCTTTACGAAAGGAAAGGAGAAAATGCTGCCCCACAATGCCTTGCGGCCGCAGCATTTGCCGTCACACAACAGTCGGCCGTTCACGGAAACAACCCATTATGACCGAGAAATGATATCATGAAAGTTACGGTGCTTATTAAGCTTTTTAAAACGTATGTGGTAAGTTGCCAAAGTGCTTTGTTTTGAACGTTCATCAGTATTATAATCAAAAAGAGAAATATGAACGTTAGTTTTTACTGAAATAATCAAATAAAGTCAACATTTCACAGTCTTTACTGAGCTGTGTGGGGTTTGTTCAACTTTTAAAAGATGTTTGAATGGTGATATACACAGTGATAGATGTTAAGGACTAACGTCTTTTCATACAATAATACGTATTGGGATCATTTGTATTAATGTGGACCGGAGGGAGAGGGTGACGAGCATAAGTTTTCACTTAGTCACTTAAGTTTCACCCTTTTTTATTTAAATTCCAACTTTGGTCATGAAGAATATGTTTCTCTGTTGTCCACGTTCATAAAGCATAAAACAACAGCATCAGAGCACGGTGCAGAGTCTCTAGATGAGTTTACAGTAGTCCGTTCTTATTATACATCCATGTTGTAGTCCACTGTATAGAACACTGTAGTTTCCCCACAGCAGCAGACGCACATTCATGACGTCTGCTGGCGCATCATAAACACGTTGGATAGTGAAAGTGCAGTCGGATTCTCTAAAGTCCTGCAGTCTCTTCTCCTAAATCCTTTTGAATTCTCCTATCCACTATCCCTTAACCCCGTGACGTTTGACTCAGAGGTCAAGGGATAGACGATAGGAGCTGATTATTGGACTATTCGACCGCAACCCGCAACGCACACACACACACACACACACACACACACACACACACACACACACACACACACACACACACACACACACACACACACACACACACACACACACACACACACACACACACACACACACACACACACACACACACACACACACACACACACACACACACACACACACACACACACACACACACACACACACACACACACACACACACACACACACACACACACACACACACACACACACACACACACACACACACACACACACACACACACACACACACACACACACACACACACACACACCTTAAGGTTCCCATATCCATGCAGTGACCTGCTGCTCCATGAGAGCAGTGGCTGCGTCATGAGGGAACATTGGAACAGGATTGATGGGGATTCTGGGGGATCTTAGTCTGGCCTGGTCTAACCTCCAGAGGCCTGGAGAAGCAGTGAGGATGTGAGGAAAGCTAACTAATGCTTATATCATCTGAAGGAAGCCGTGTGCAGGCAGAATCATGGGAGCTGTGATTTGCCGTTCTTATCTGGAAACGTATCACTTATCTTCAGATTCCCACAGCTTGTACTTTCCTCGGTTCGTTTGGTGTGTTTACCTGCTAAATGCTCTGTCAATCATATCTCAAATAGCTCCATTTTCTAAAAAACAAACATGATAGGAAATTCTATGTAAAATGACTAAGGCCACATTGTGCTTCACAGAAAGGGCTTTCAACCATGTTTCACGTTCATTCAACGGAAAACATAGTTATCCTAAAGGCCAGGTGTGTGTGCACTTTTATCTCATCTCCAAACTCTGTTTTTCATTCTTGTGTAAGCTTTGGTGTGTGTGGAACTCCATGACAGACTTTGAGCTGTAAACAGTGAGCGTTCAAGTGCTCAGCGTTTAAAAGCCCCATTGACTCTTTGGCCCTTACATCATCCCAGACAGCGGTGGACATGTGCCAACAACGTTTATTCAAATACAGAAAAACGTCAGATTAAATGTGTTGCTACTGCTAGGAGGTTTCATGCAGCTGTATCGGTGTTAGTCAAACGACTGCATTTATATAGAGCTTTTACAGCCTTTGCAACCACTCAAAGTGTTTTAAAATACACAAGTCAGCATTCCCCCATTTATACAGACGCAAAGGCTGCCATTCAAGGTGCCACCTGCTCAGGAGGACTATCACTCACACACACACCGCAGTGAAGCAATTTGGGGTTAGGTATCTCATCCAAGGACATTTTGACATGCGGGGATCCAACTACCAACCTTCTGATTAGTAAACGACCATTTACCTCCATCTATTTTCTAAATGCTGTTTTTACTGAGTCATACCCAATGGAGTAGAAGATTAGAGGACCAGGAACCATTTTGGCTGTCACATTTACATATTTTCATTTCTTAACTCACCTGCAGAGTGTGTGTGTCGTCTGGTTCGTTCCTGCTCTGCTGACATTCTTCTTCCTCGGCTACTGTAGAGAACAGAGGACACAGCTTCATCAATACACGACATATTCTACTGATTACATTTACGTCATAATATAATAAACCATTAATGTTGCATTTTTCTCTTTGTGCTATAAAGTATAGTCCTCTTCCCTACAGTTCAGCTGAGGCATGACATGTGTTTGTGATGGAGCACACCAACAGGCTGTGGTAGCAGATGATATATAACAATACCATTTAGTATGATGTGTTTAGTCATTGAGGGATTCATGAAAAAAATGGTGTTAAATATCTGGACACACAAACAAGGTCATTATGTGATTTAAAGTTAGACTACAATGCGTGGTGTGGTTAGGTCATTGTTGGTTCATTGCTAATTATGGCAAAAATAAAACCATTGCATCATTGACCAAAACACATTAGGTCTAAGGTTAATGGTCCTCTGCTATTTAAAGCCGTGATAGTAAGATGTGAACCAGGAAATGAACATACCCTTCATTTGTTGCATTGTGGTGAATTTGAGGCTCCGCAATTTCCTCAAATATAGGTGGTGTTCAAAAGCTCAATCGGACAGGTTCTGTCCCCCAGACTCCAGTTAAATACAGTATAGGTTCATTTGCTCATTCACAGTCAAACTGAGTTGTTTTGGGGCCCTGCTTGTACAATTTCACTTTGTTTTATCTGAAGAAAACCTCTCATTTCTCCAAATGCTGCATCCACTATTTACAAAGAAATGTGCCTGCACCTGGTTTTCAAAAGGAACAGGAGCTGACCCTGATTTATTTGATTCATATGAGGCTCTGAACACACAGATGGTAACTTAGCAAAAGTACATTTGGACATGCCTGAATGCTCTTTCACAATGCGCTTAAAACCAGGGGCTATATATTGTTTCAAAAGGGCCCTTTCAAAATATAATTGAGTTTTTATTTGACTATAATACTCTTATACTCAAATAACTTTAGACCACAACTTGCAACAGTATGGCTCCTGACATTAGAGAGGAGAGTCACATCACTACAACGGTAAACTCCACACCTACTAGATCATTAACTCGGTCAAAAACACAGGAAGTGGAAATAAACTCGGTCAACTGAATCAAAAGCAATCCACACTGCTTCTGACCTCTGCTGCTTCATGATGTGAAATCATTTCAAATGAGCCTGATGAGATTGACAAGCATCTGAGGTAGAAGCCTTTCAGCACAACCACTTCAAAGTGTGATGTGTCCCTGTCTTTATGGAAGCGGTGATGACTACCTTGTGAAGTGCTGGTGACATTGGGCAGGTGCTGCTTTAAAGTGCCATGCAGAATTCCAAAGAAACAGTACAGACAATGTGGGTGAGTCAGAGAGATCCTGCAGGGAGTTTCCTCCTCTCATGTGACTCAGTAATGCTCCTGGTTACAATAATTAGGGGGGTGAAATGGAAAGCTTGTCCCTGAGTCAGAACGTGCTGGAATATTACGCAGTTTACGTACAGAGCTGCCACTGTGGCTGCCTCTAACCGATTGTTGGCCTCACTTCATCCTGATGATTTGTAGTGAGGCAGCATTCATTTAAGATTCTCTCCTTTTCTTTTGGTCTATCAAGGACGTGATGCTGCTGGCTGGCTGTGGTGAAAAGTAACTAAGTACATTTACTCCAGTACTGTACTTGAGAGACTTGTCGTTTTTCTATTTTATGCTAATGTGTATTTCAACCCAACTTCAATTCAGAGGTAATTGGTGTACTTCTACTCCACTACATGTATTTAATACCTTCAGTTACTTTACAAAGTTTACAGATGTGGATGAATGATGTGAAATATAATCAAGTGTTAAATCAGACTTTAGTTCCACCTGGAGTAAATTCACAAGCTACCCTGCAGTATACAAAGTCATTCAAACTAGCTGCACCTTTACCAGCTTTGAGAACACTTTCATGATCAATCATTATAAAACATATCATATATATTATTCTGAAATGGACCAATCTGCACGATGACTACTTTTACTGTCGCTACTTTAACTATATTTTGATGAGAATACTTTTGCACTTGAGAAACATTTTGAATGCAGGACTGTTACTTGTACACGGTCTGGTACTTCTACTTTTACTTAAGTACAAGATCTGAGTGCTTCTCCCACCTCTACTGGCTGTGAAATATTCACTAGCACCGACACAAGACCTGCTCTGATCATATATCCTCCTTCGCTGTGAGAGTGTGGAGATTAGCATAGCACAAGAGTTTGGTATTAACTCTTTACTTTCCCTATCCATCAGCAATGTGAGAATGCATTCACACAGCATCACCGTGGAGCTGCACGACGACGTATGTCTTGTCTACTCCCTCGAGGCATAATTGGCAACTGGTGTGTTCCGTCTGGCTGCGTTTCTACAAATGTTGAGTCTGTTTGAACTCCTCCATTCCCTAAATTGCTGACACACCAACCCTACTCAGATAAATGGAAGGACTGGCTTTTTCGCAACGCTTGATATGATGTGAATGCAGCCTTAGGGGTTGTACACAGTCACCGTCTTTTACCGGCTCCAAGACATGAAGTTGGGGGATTGGCAGTTCTGGCAACATTGAATGGCACTGAGACAGGTTGCAGTAAACATTGCTAAGCAACCATTAACAGTACCATCAGATCCTCTTCCAAACTTTATTATTAAAGTATTGAAATATTGTCCTTGGGAGCAGTGTTTTCCTAGAAGAACACTGTTTCTGTCTCTGCTCTGTGTATCTGGGTGCTGGAGGGACACCGCCACTGACACCAGAGGATATTAATGATCATGTGACATTCTAGCAGCAGTGCTCATACATTGAATATAGGTAAACACTGACAACAGATTGTACTCAAATAAACAACTTCTCCATATTTGCCATAGACTGATATTTACGGAGGCAACTGTCTGCTGTGATTGGTTGTTCAAATTGATCAATCATAGATCTCTCTTCTGAGCGCACATTAACATGAAATATAAATGATTATGACTGTGCCTTAAAAGCAGCATATGTCAGTCTTTTGGAGGGATACAAAATGCTTTAGAACTTGAGTAGAACCAAATGACTGAAGTGAAATCAGAATCTCTGATCTCTTACAACACAGCTGTGATACACAATAGCACAAGTGTTCCTAACTACATGGACAGTGGCTAAACAACACAACAGCCAGTGTATTCATGAGGTTAGAAAGAATGAATGTTGTTCATTAACCATGGCTCTGTTTGGTTGTGGTGTCCTGGTAAACCATAACCGTGCCAGTAAACCAGTATGAGCAGTAACAGTAACCTGGAGCAGCTTAGCCTTTCATCTGTTCTACTGTAAGCTCCTATCCGCACTGTTGGTCATCCAGATTCTCCAAAACAGATTTCTTCTATGGATGGTCAATTTCATTTTAATAAGAAAGTTTACTATGAAAGTGAATATATATATAACTTCCATTTTAACATGTTTGGGTGATACTAAGATACTTACTTATCTTTAAAGGAAGTTAAACTAATGAAGGGGATTTGTTTCAACCTGTCATTAGATTTCAGCTAGTAACAGAAGGATCCTGCATCGTAAATAAAAAGCATCATTTCCTATTCAGTCTTGAAAATAAAGGCTGGCTGTGCTAGGGATTTGGTGAGCAGCTCAATACAAATGACAAGTACTATTTGTACTGGCTCTATACAGAAACACACACACACACACATACTAAATACACACATCTGAACGCTCATATGTAACAGCATGTTGAAACCCTAACACATGCAGAGACACACACACAAGTAACAGCACACCCTGACACACACACACGCACACCCTGACACGCACACCCTGACACACACACACACACACACACACACACACACCACACACACACCCACACACACACACACACACACACACACACACACACACACACACACACCACACACAACACACACACACACACACACACACACACACACACACACACACACACACACACACACACACACACACACACACACACACACACACACACACACACACACACACACACACACACGCATTTCTCGGCCCACCTCTAGTTTCACTGTCCACTGTTAAGTCTTGATGACATCATCAGGTTGCCTGGATACCGTGCCCCATACAAACAGAGACACACTCAGCCCCTGCCCTGTAGCTGACACAACGCTCCGGCTTCCTTGTATTCTAAAAGCAGCCAGCATCGTTCAAAATGGAGGGGGGGGGGGGGGGGGGGGGGGGGGTAGATCTTTATACTGACTACTTCATGCCAATAAATCAAACTGTGAGAAACGTTCCTTCATGGCTGGTTGAAAAATACATGATGTAACTTAGTGGGTGTGTTTTGTTTATTGCGTCTCCTCGTGAGTATGAATTTGAAGCATGAGTATTGGAGCGTGTTAGGCATACAAACCCCAGAAAGAGACGTTTTTGGGGGGGTTTAGATCTCTGAGGATTAGGGCCACATGTGAAATGCTTTTTGAAGATCTGACCAAAGTGAACTTTGTTTGGAGTTCTAAGAAAGAAATCTGAATTATGAGCTCACAGTTAGAATTCTGACTTGAATCTCTTCCCTAATCCAATCAAAAATAAATACAAGAGTCTCTAAATGTCAGACACTTGAGGCCTGATAGAAGTGAAATCTCCCTACATGGACCTTGAGACATCTAGAAATGAATGATTTTGTATTCCTGAATGTGCTTTGATTTCAATGCCAATTCAAAATCACAATAGCATAATATCAATTTAAACGTTCTTATTAATGTCCAAACAAGCTGTGGTGACATGACAGTAACTGCAGTGGGTGATAGCCTGCTAACGCTCATCATGGTGGAGTTGGCAAACTTCAAAACAAAACTGGAAGCCGTTTTCTGTTTTACATGCATGCGTGTTATTCCCATCAGGCGTGTACATGGATTTATGGTTTGAAAAGAGAGAAGGGATGGTGTTTCATAAAAAGCAAGTAAGTCTTTCTATCTGATCACAACACATCATTTATCCAGGATTTCAAAAATAAAACTGGAAGCTGTTTTCTGGTTAACATTAGTGTGTTATCCACATTAGGCTAATGGTTAGCAGCTAGCTCAATAAATGTTGAGTGAATGTCTATTCCTATCTTACAACTTTCATGTATTTTATACCTGTGTTATTCTATATTAGCTTGTTTTGTGTTTATTTGATTCTTTTCACTTTTTAACGACTGTTTTTAAATGTTTTAAATGTCATTTTAAAATGTGATTCCGCTGCACTAAGCATTTGAATTGCCTTGGTGCTATATAAAAATAAAACTTGCCTGGCCATTCCTCAATAAATATGACCCTGGCAGGACATCATGTAGTAATACTTGTCAATATGTTGATCCCAGGTAAATATAGAGGTAATGGAAGGGAAAGATGAATGGTGAACAAAATAAATGAAAGATATAATCACTGTAGTAATGGATAGTTATTTACCTGTCGAGGGTGTGTCGTCCAGTGAGACCATGTCTTTCCTCATCGTCTTCTTATTTTCTCTCTCCTTCCATCCATCCACTGTATCCAGAGTGTCCTTCCCCTCAAACACGCCAACCTCAGCAACATTCATAGCAACACTCTCATGGCCTTCGCTCTGGAACGTATCACTGCCAGCACCAAGAGGGATGGCAGGGAGAAGGGTCAGGTCCTCTAAAGACTGGGATGACTGGTCTGTTTCCACTGGCACAGGGGAAGGGAGTTCCTCTGGACCGGGATCAGCCATAGAAGTTGAGTTACAGGGGGTAACAGGAAGTGGCAAAATGGGAACGTCTGCTTCACACGCTGTCTGGACCTGACCATCCAGCTCAGGTTCTGACATTTCCCCGGAAGCTTGCTCACCATTCTCCCTTTCCTCACTCGCTTGGCTGTGTGGACGACTGCATTCAGCCTCGGCAGTGATGGATTCTAAAAGCTGATGTCGTATACCCCTCTCCTCCTGACAGATAGACTGATCCTGGTTTTCTCCAAGACTGTCCTCAGAATCAGGGCAGGAAGGATCTTTCTTTTCTGGAACAAAACCGGGGAGTTCTATCTGCGTATGACCTTGGATGTCTACCTCGTTGCTAATCTTTTCCTGCAAAGGTTTAATATCAACGGGCAGCAGAAGGTTCTCTTCGGGTAGAGAACATGTAAAGACTTTGTTAAGCGTACTCTCCCTTTGGAATTCCTCTTTGTCGAGTTGTGGTAGACTGGGAGTGTCTGCAAGTGCTGACAGGTCAAGGTTAGCCTGCTGCCTGCTAGCCAGCTGTGCTGCTGCTGGCGTCTCTGTCTCAGCACTACACTGCAACACCACACAGTCCTGGGATGCTTCAACATTAGCTTCTGTAGAGGGGAACTGATCAGTAGGTTCAGTGTCTGAATGCGTCTCTGTCTCAGCTTCTACTAGTTTACAGGTCTCTTCGTCTTTGTTCCTCAACTTCAGTAAATCATCTGCTATCTTTTGGCTTAGCTCTATGCTAGCCATAGCTGATGCTATTGCTACCGCTACAACTGCTATTGCTGTGGCTGCTATGTTTTCATTGTAGTTCTGCTCTTTTTCTTTGTCTATGTGAGACAGCTCCTTGGCATTAACCGTCCCGCCGTCATCTTCTTGACTCCTACTGCTTTCCTGACTCGCTTCCTCTTCACCCACACACAACTTGTTGGTATTTTCCTCCCTGTGCTGCTGATCTCTCAGCATCTCAGCGGCCAAACAATGCTCCAAATTTCCCCTCACAGTTGTCTCAGCACTTCCTTCCCCTATTTCAAGTGGTAAAACATCCGCTGTAGCTTCAAATGGCACACCAACAGCTTCTGGAGGACGCACAGATTCCATGAAGGGTCTTCCCATGAGATCCACTGGCTGTTCGAGTTTGTTTGACGCAACAGTTTCTACATGCTGTGAATTCTGTTCAGGAAATTCCACAAGTTCCGTTGTGAATTCTGTAGGAACTGAACGTTTGACAGTAAGTTCCTTTAAAGAGTTAGATTCCACCAAAACTGTCCGCTCCACGGATGTTTCATCTTTACCGTCAACCGTCAAATCTTTATTTTCGGACGCTGCCTTTATATCCACATAATCCAACGTTTGTTGGACCAGACCAACAAGCCCGTTTGATTCCAGCTCTGTAGGCTCAAGTATTTCCTTTCCAACTGGTTGCACACTTGTTATTTCCTCTCCCTCTGCGTTTTTGATGTCCGTTTGACTAAGCTCTGAAGCAGTGACAGTAGAATCCGTGCTAAAGTGATCAGGTCCGTGAACGTCCATGATGTCATCCTCTGATAATCCTTCTGTTTCTAGAGTCTGTGAAGCCGTCTGATCTGTTTTCCTGTCTGCGGGAATAAACTCCTGAGTCGCACCAGTACAGTCTGAGTTGGTGGCATCACAGTCGGGGACATGAGTGGCCCTGGTCTGGCACGCTGTCTGGCTGGGTAGATGCATGGCGTCCTCTCCGCTTCCTGTTTTATCCTTGGACTCTTTCTCTGACTGAGTGTTCAGGTTTGTCACTTGTTCTCTCTGACTTAGAGAGTCTATGCTTGAGCTGGAGCTAAGTTTGGCCTCCCCGCCTCCTCTCCTTCCCCTCTTCTTCCTCCTCTTTTTTCTGCCCTTTGCTCCTTTCTCTTCGCTCCCTTGCTTCTCTTCTCCCTCCTCGATGTCTGCCGTTTCAGAACTCTTTCTGCTGTGACTGGTGTCTCTGTTACTAACCTCCTCTCCGCCCCCCTCCACTCCTCCCTCCTTCCACTCCGGCCCTACTTCCTCCTCTGGCTGTGATCCGTGCACTTCCCGTCTTTGTGCCCGGGGCCCATGTGATAGTGCTGGCTGTGTTCCAGCAGCATGTGGCTGACTAAGAGCTGAGGACAGTTGATGAAAAGCAAGTCCCTGATCTAACAGCTGTGGAGAACTAAGACCAGAAGCTTGGGCCGAGCCCAAATCACATTCTTCCTGCTCCCTCATTCCCTGCTCCAGCTGTTCGTGTTTGCTCTGATCTGGTGTGTCACTGTCATACCAAACTGACTGGGATCTCACTTCCTCTCTGTTACAGTCTTCATCAGCACCCTGGTCTAGGTGTTCACCCTGATACCAGACAGTGTGTGCTACGGTGTCTAGTCCTTGAGGGGGGGATCCCACTCTGCTTCCCATCCAGCCTCCATCCCGCCACAGCCCTCTCCGAGGTTTTATGTCCATGTCGGGGGACTTGGGGTTGGTATTGTGAGGACTGTTGTTCACAGTGTCAGGTTGGCCCGGCTCCTCTGCGTCTGACAGGCTTTCCTGGGGATCCTTCGATTGTTCCTGACCCATGGTTACTGAAAAGAGACAGCATTAGATTAAGCACGACAAAATACACTTGTTTAGCTTGGTCATCATTTTTCCCCAATTTCATTAGAAGTCTGGAAACATGACACATTTGCTACGAGAACGCTATATTGGTCACAAGCATTCAAGTGATCAGACAGGTCAAACAAATGTCTGTCTTTGTGTCTGTCTGAATTATAATCAGAATCTGGTCTATTGCCAGGTAGGTTTACTCATACAAGGAATGTGCATTGCTGTATATGGTGCATACATAAACACGATAGGAGGAATTACATTGTGCAAAAAGAGGAAGAAATACACAATTACTTTTAAAGCTAGTATAAAACTATTTCAACATTTTAAATATCAAAAATAATTGTTTACAAGAAATATAAATAAACAAAAAAATGAAGTACAAGGAGAAAATGACAAATGACCTGCCAGGGGACAAAAGCCTTTATGGCTAAATCTGATACATTAACATGATGGACTCAAGCGCTGTTGTTACCTGGCGTTAATTGTCCCTTCTTAATTAAAAATGTAAAAAAACGAAACAAATCTATTTTCTCTAAGAATACATTGTGTGCAGTATATTATAATTCAATGTGGCAGAGCTGTGCCGTTATGAAAGTTTGTCAGCCTGTCTTTAAGACCAAAGATGTTGTCTCTTTAAAAGGATCACAACAAGATGCATTCACAGAACTGTGCAGGTGGGCGGTGTGTATTTAATATCACACTTAAGGTTGACCGGAGGTGGTCCGAGCAATGGTGCAAGACAAAATGAAATGAGCCATCTCCTCCCACTCTTTACTACTTTGACTCACCATGGCTGGTGTGATCCAATCGCAAGATAGACACATTTGACTTACATGTGTTATTCTAAATCCCATACTAACATATACTTACTTTTCCCTAAGTATATATTCTAGTGAGACAATAAAATGCTTTTTCTGAGTGTCTTCAGGTTCCCATGTTGGAATGCAGCCTCTGCTAGCTTGTTTTTTTGTTCCCGCACTGTGACTTACTTCCCTCTTGGGTGTAATAGTTGAACAATCAGCAGTGTGACTCAGAGCTGCTGTGTGCACACTCTATCTGTTCCCCAGATCACTACTTTATTTTGATCCATTAGGTGGAAGATTACCAGAACAAGCTTTTCCTGTTTCATCATGTGAATGTACCAGTGATAAAGTTACCTGCAGCTGATTCCGGATCAGGGTTGACTTCAGCCGGTCCTGCTGGGAGACATCCAGTGCCCCCCCGCTCTGTCTGTGCTCCTGTCTCTACAACTCGCTCACATATCAATGGCTCAGCTTCCCACTTCTCTGCTTCCTGTTTTTCTACGGTGGTGTTGATGGTGGGCAAGGCCGCTGCTTTCCTGCCAGCACACTTCCTATCTCCACCTGGTCCAGACTCTGGCTTTATGGGTAATGGAGTCTCTTCTGTTTTTGTGTCGACTTTCGCTGATGCCACCACTGGTTCTCTGGGTGAAATAGGTCCATCGGTCTCAGTTGTACTTCCTGTTGCAGGCTGCGGTGTGCTCCCTCTATTGGCCTCTGGGGTGCTTCTGTTATTTCCTGGAGATTCTGCAGCGTGTCTGGTGTTTTTTCTAGTTCTCTTTTTGTTTTTCCTGTAGCGTCCTGCAGGAGAGTTGGCAGCCGGGGCTCCCTTCTGTTCTCCCCCGGTTTCCTGCCCCTGACAAAGCTTTGCACTGGTACAGGATATGTGAGTGACAGCGGCAGAGTCCTCCCCCTGTGCTCTTTGCTCCAATGACGGCGGACTTCCCCCTTCTTCTTTTGTTGTGCTACAGGTCTCTATGGTAACCACGGACAGGCCGTTAGAGCAGGGCTGCGGAACCACATGTGTCGCTGCGACACTTCCCTGCAGGAAGGAAGACAAAACCAAATAAAACCACAGTCACAAGTAAGAAACATTCAATTCAAAACATATTTGTTGGTTTAGTTGGCTGCTGTGAAACTGTCAACCTATATGTATGTGTAACCATGGTGACATGACCACACATTAGCTTACAATAAGACATAATTCACAAGTCATATGTAGGACTGCACGATTTGGAAAAAATAAATAGTTGCAATAATTGTTTGACTCATTTCGCATTACAATATGGGAGGGATTGTTCTTTTAGCATTGTTATTCTCATTGAAAAATATATATATAATATATATATTAATATAATCATGTTGTGATCTTTTAAAAGATAATATGCACCAACAAATATACTGTGGTTAGTCTGTACAATATATTTTAGTAGGTTGGAATATATCTGCAGCTCCACAATACTTCATTAAAAATAAACATATTTAGCCTTAAATATTGTGCATCCTGTGCTTTGAATATTGGACTAGACAATATTGCGATTTAGAACATTTTCTGATACATTTTGCAGCCCTATTGACATCTACACTTGCATCAGCCACATGTTCCTTTAAACTGTAGCCACACATGGAGAAAACAAGAGCTGTGATTGGTCAGTGTGGCCTGCTAGTGTTTCTGATGGTAGCGGAGAATGGCTGAAGATTTAATAAAGCATCAACATCTGTCAACCTCAAAGAAACCCTGTAAAGATGAGTCTCATTTACTAATGACACAGAAGGACCTCCTCACTTATATCTAGTATTGTGCTAAACTAGTAAATACTAGTCACCTCCTGGTAACCCTCCGAGATATACGATATATGGTCGTCACCTTGTCTAAAAATGCTAGTATAACCTCAACCATTTCCTGCACATGAAGTGATTTGCACATGTATTTATAGGACAAACTGAGCTATCAAAATATGTATGCTGCTAGTCAGTCACATACATGTTTGTCACTCAGGATCTATCTGTCTTGCAAAAACATAACTCAAAATAATAAATCCACAGTCATTGCATCGGGGGAAAAAGCCTCGGATTCTTCAACAGACTACACCGAATGCATCATGGGCTATATAATTAGATAGAAAGATATTTTATAACGCCTAAAAACATAGAAATCTAGCGTCAATGTGGTTAAATAATCATAAAAGCAACCCATTGTCTGTTAATTAGCTGCATGAGGTCTCTAAAAAACACTATTTTATAGGATAGATACAAATAGCCTGAAAGTGGTACAGGCACCAAGTGTGAGAATGGTCTGACATTGAGCTATTACAGGCATTTGATAACTGTTTGCACTGTTCTGGAGATATCCTCACAAGAGTGAGAAAAACTCCATGTTGTCGTACACAACGTCATCAATCTCAGAGGGTTAAGCTTGGTTGCCTCAGCTACTGAAACTAGTATTAAAACTGATTCCTTATAATAAGCTACAGTACAGTTGAAGAAAGTATTACAGCACAGTAACAGCCTGTAGAGCAGCAGGACAGGGAACCCTCTGCTCACCTTTTTGTCCCTGTGAAGACGGATACGTCTCCTCAGCTCCTCCACCTCCTCCTGTAAGCAGCTCTCTTCACTTCTCTGTGTCTCGGCCCCCTCCTCTCTTCCAGGGAATGTTAGGGTGTAGGTACCGAGATTCAGATGCTGCTGAAACACTCGGCCTCCTGGGTAAAAGTGCAGCCGCTCTTTTGGTTCCACTTGGACAGTTGAAGACGTCTCAAACCTGCAATGACACAAAATAATGTCACTGAACAGTATGTACAAACAAACTGCTCCTCTGTTTTTCTTTTGTCACACTCACCGTGTTGAACTCCATGTTGGATAAATAAAAGGCAATAATTACAAGGTAAGAATACACAACTTAACGAAAAATCCGGACACCACCCAGCCCCTGTGGCACACACACAGTGCCCTGTGTGAGGATGACATCACTTCACACCCCTCAGATCCTCCCACACACAGAGCTGGGATCAGCTGAGCTGCCTGTCAGAGAGCACAAAGGCTCCGGGACTTTCTGCTCAACAGCACAGAGAAACTCCTTACAGAGAAATCACATCCCACTGACACACACACACACACACACACACACACACACACACACACACACACACACACACACACACACACACACACACACACACACACACACACACACACACACACACACACACACACACACACACACACACACACACACACACACACACACACACACACACACACACACACACACACACACACACACACACACACACACACACACACGAAAGCCCACATCCAAACACTCATATGTAAGAGCACATTAAAACCTTAACACACACACACACACACACACACACACACACACACACACACACACACACACACACACACACACACACACACACACACACACACACACGAAGCCCACATCCAAACACTCATATGTAAGAGCACATTAAACATTAAGACACAACACACACACACACACACACACACACACACACACACACACACACACACACACACACACACACACACACACACACACACACACACACACACACACACACACACACACACACACACACACACACACACACACACACACACACACACAAACTCTCGAAAGCCCACATCCAAACACTCATATGTAAGAGCACATTAAAACCTTAACACACACACACACACACACACACACACAAACTCTCGAAAGCCCACATCCAAACACTCATATGTAAGAGCACATTAAAACCTTAACACACACACACACACACACACACACACACACACACACACACACACACACACACACACACACACACACACACACACACGAAAGCCCACATCCAAACACTCATATGTAAGAGCACATTAAAACCTTAACACACACACACACACACACACACACACACACACACACACACACACACACACACACACACACACACACACACACACACACACACACACACACACACACACACACACACACACACACACACACACAACACACACACACACACACACACACACACACACACACACACACACACACACCACACACACAAGATTCCCAATCATAGGGAAAGTTAGTCTTATTACAGTATTAACTGGAGTTAAGCTGGCTACACACCAACCCGATTTTGGGAGTCAGAGGCTGTCAGAGGCAGTCGGGCATTCGCGGCGCCCTACTCAGGTTGGTGTGTCCCGCACCGTTGTCTCTTTACGGCACCTTTTCACACCTCCCGCGGCCACGGGAGGTCAGAGAAAGTCGGCCCAAGCAATCACTCTGATTGGCTGTTCACACTACCGCTGTCTGCTGGCAAGGAGAGTTATTGACACTCGTCGACTGAAGTATTTGCGGGCGTAGCCGACGCAGGCGACGTAGCTGACGTAAAAGTCGGGACGCCTTCGGTACGCGTTCTTTGGTCTCAGGTGGGTGTGTAGCGGCCTTTAGGCATTGAGACGTTAACCCTACAGGTCCTGAAGCATTTACCCTTAAATCAGGGAAGTTAATATCCCACCCTGTGATCGTCAATGTGAAGCTTCAATGGGTCTTAAAGGGACAAGATTATTCTCATTTTCAAGTTCATGTATTTAGTAGTTTGGAAGTGAGGGTGCATACATTATGGTTTCTGATTCAGTTGTAAGCATCTATAGTCATTTTAATATCTATTTATGAACACCCGGTCATATTTAAATCTTGCAGTCTGGAAAATGTGTAAATATATACTTTTACATTTAATGTTATTTCATCTAAATATTGCTTTCTCATTCCTGCTACTGCTGCTTTCCTTATTGCTTTTATTTATGTGTGCCTATTTCTATTTATTTGACTGCAGTGAGAGCATCCTACGAGTTTATGATGACAATAAGGATATTCTGATGATTCTGTTCAGATTGTTTTTTAATGTTTCTGTTTTCGTGACAATTCAATATTTTGCCTTCTGGAAGCAATCCCCTTCCCTAGAACTCAGTAAAGCCATGTGCATCTAGCAGGGACAGCTGCTCTTTCCCCAATAAATCCAAACACATCTCTGATTCTGGTCACACATATAGAGGTACTCACTGGGTGAAGAGCTCCAGCAGCTGATCGTGCCCTCTGCTCTGCGCCACACAGGCTGCAGTCAGCCCCCGGGCGTTGGGGGTCCTCAGAGCCCGGCGGGCCCCCGGCTGCTGCAGGAGGAACGCTGCTACCGTGCGCAGACCGTGACTGGCTGCCAGGTGCAGCAGGCCTGAGAGCTGCTGGCGAGGAGGCTCTGCTGGAGGGGGGGGAGAACAACAGTTAGATGGGGGGGGTTGACTGATGAGATAGGATGGAGCGAGGTAGACCCCTCCTGGTGGAGAGAGATAAGGGACGGTAGCTTTTCACCAACAGAGCAGTTTACTGATATTAGTCTGTGTTTAAATGTGGGTATTACCAGCTCAAGATTTAGAGATAATTGTAAAAACTTCGAAACATTTTTTACCTTCAAGATAAATAAAGTATAGTCATTGATAGAACTAAAAGGGAAAAGGACCTTCCTGCATTATTTTAACAATGGATTGGGAACTAATGTGCAAAAACATTCATAATACAATTAACTCAAACAACTGGAAAAAAAACAATTCAGTCTTTAAGGCACCTCAAATTCAACAAGAATAATTCATTTTAAAATGCTGGAGAGAATACACAAAAACATTACTAATGTGACCATCCGGTTAGATGTGACAATTAATGTATTCATGTAAAATGATGTAATAATGATGTATCTGTTATCTATTCAATATATTCCATAAATGATTGTTCATCAGTTGTTTTTTTTCTGATTTGTTATTTGGTGATAAATGTATTTTAGTTTCAACTCTGCCCTGTAATCATATCATTTCTTAAAATGCAAATACAAAACATTTAAAAACTCAATGATCTTTGGGCAGACAGTACATCAACTTACAAACAAATGTGATTGATTTTTATCTTTTTTTTATGTTGAATACAACATAGTGACATGACATATAAAGCTAGGAGACCAATTCTTTATCACCATAAGTCACTGGATATGAGCCAAATGTGACTCAACTAGATGATGCCACCTCTGTTCCGCTCAGTCAATTCCACATCTACCGTACCTCACAATAAATGCGAACAATAGAAAAACCCTTAAATGGGCAAGGCATAGTTCCACAGAGAGCCAATAACTTGAGTTAAATTGAGAGGAACGAGTGGATAACATATCTTGATAAATAACTTATCATTTAAAAACTGGCCATGTGCTTTATCAGGTTTCAGGTTAAGAGCCACAGAAGGCCTGAACAAAAACAGTTTTTATCTGCTGTACACCTCATAACCCTCTGGACTATGTAAAGCATTATTGAAATGCTGTATGACCACGTGCATGTTCATCAGTACACAGAGATCAGGGGTCACCAATACGCTGAGTTGGGTATTGGAATTGGCTTCAGGTCAGATTGTGTAAAGTCACTCAGATGTGACACGTTACATCTGAAGAGAACAGCATGCAGCTGTGTAATAAACTCAAACGGTGAGTAAGTCCTACAGAGTCATTTATGTGACTGTCTGTGGTGGAACACATCAGCTACATGATGAAACACTTTTTGGACACATTTGTGGAAACAGTGTGTAAGTTTCAGGCTGGGTGTTTCCCACAGCAACGGATGAGTGACAACTGAGCAGTGGCATTAATAGGAGACGCACTGTCAGCTTCTGTGGTGTAATATAGAGTGGTTCAGTGATGACGGCACAAAACAATTGGATCTTTCCATTTGATTTTGGAATATCACAGAAAATGTGATATTTGTCAAACAGGTGTTTATGCTACTTTTTTGCACACTTTGTTCAGCGTGATATTGTCCAAATATTAACACTACTTGTATAATAGTTGAACGTAAATGTAATCAGTAGAAGTTATGCTTTAAACAAACTACATCACGGTAGCATGACTTCAAGTCAACAATGCTAAGCTAACGGCGGCTAATGTTCAGAGTTTTTAGTAGTCTCGTTTAGCCACTATGTTTTATGTCGTAAAACAAGACGTGAAATATTTTAAGCTTGTGTTAACCACTTATCTTATTTCCGGCACCTAGCCAAAAACATGCTAAAAAACCATTGAATTTGAGATGGGGGAACCAGAAAGGGATACAATGCTACCTAATGTCCAGTTTTAAGACTGATTCCTGCACAACTTCATTGACAATAACAGTTTAAACCATCCACTGTTGGCTTTGTGAAGTGTGAACTATGTAGCTTAGCTTGCTAACGTTAAAGCTATAGAGAAAGAAAGGTCAAAGTGAGTTAACAGAGAACATTCAGGCAGTTTAGCCCGTTATGCCTGTTTTTATAAAACAGATTTGGGGATTCATTAAAAACTGGCTCTTTGGGGCATTCTAACTCACCAGTGGACACATCTGTGCTCGTTTCATCATGTGTGTCATTGTCGTGTCCGTGCCTACCACTGTGTGTGTGAATCCCGGGTCGAGTCCTCAGGTGTCTCAGGGCCAGAGCCAGACTCTTGTCCAACCGCTCACACTCCTTCAACACACATAAAAATGAAATAATTGAATCTTCTCTGTGTCCCCTTTTTAATTCTGTTACATGTCTTACTTACAGACACAAAGCAAATTCATTCAAATCATTATCTACAAAATCTAAAAGAATATAATAGTGAAAGTAATAGCATAAAAAGCCCAAAAAATAACATTTTAAATCAAATCAACTTTTTAGAGCTTCTTGTCTTACCTGCTCATCATCCAATAGTAATGCTTCCTGTGGAGCTATGCTGTCAAGCAGGAAGTGGGCCATGTCGAGAGCCAAGTCCTGCACACAGCACAAAATTCACAATTCACAAGAAACATCACACAGACATGCCATCCTTATGTGCACATCCTTAATTTGATGACATTTATAAACACATCAGTCAGTTTAATTTAACGTTTCAAAAGGTTTCATCAGCTGCTCTTGTCAACTAATGAGACATTCTTAAAGATGATGTAAAATATTACATAATTAACCGTTGTGGAACAGTATTGCCAATCAAAATGGGTTCTTGCAGCACAGAAATGTAAAAAATATGTTTGGGTTCCTTTTGGATATCTGACTTTTTACATGATAAATTCTGAAAAAGCACCACGTATTTTCACCAAAGGACAAATTGAATGGATTTATAGATATCGGATAAAAGTCAGCAAATATTTCCATTTCCATAAACATATCACATATTGTTATGAATTGTTACCTGTACGAAGCAGAAGGTCTCCTGAGAGCGCGAGTCCACTGCTCCATCAGGCTGAACCCAACATAACGTCACCAAGACCTGCTCACACACATTATGAGCTACACACACACACACACACACACACACACACACACACACACACACACACACACACACACACACACACACACACACACACACACACACACACACACACACACACACACACACACACAAAAGGTTGTGTTTTATTGGCAGCACAAGCAGCTGTTGACAGACAGAGGCAGACTACATGATGTGCTAACAGACAGAAAAAGGTGGAGCTACTGAGAGATAATGACTTGTGTACTTGTGACCCAGCCTTCAGGAGTCAAATCAGAGCAACTTCACCACTGTCAGCCACTAACTTCCACATAAAACAAACCACATTGAGTGATCAGATGGCAATCTGAGGGAAAACATATTCAGGAAATGTAACATTTTTCATTCTCAAATAACCATTTTCTTCTGAAATGTGTTGCATTGTAGTTCTGTGCTGGTGCTAGTTTGGGCGCAGTTGGTTCAGCTTGTTAAAGCTAATATTGGCTAATGATGCATATTTTTCCATTAATACATTTTAATAAACAATGCTTGGCAACATAAGGCCGTAAAAAAGGATTAGGAAAAGATAGTGCTCGCAGTATGATAGCAGCAGAGATAATATGACACATTACACAGAGGGGGGTCGCAGTGCCTCTCCATGACAGCGGCTTTGTCGATGCCTTGGCTAAGTGTCAGGAAATTGTCGGAAATCATGCTATTAATTCAGAGATCATGTTATAACAAAGTAAAGACCCTTCTGATTTCTCTTATCAACTTGTCATGCATTTGATTATTACAACACCAGAAAAACTCAAGGAAATACTAGTATTTTTCACTTGATTAATCAGGATTAATCACATATTATTACTCTCACTAACGCAATTAAATTATTTAACCGATTGACACTTCTTGTTTTTTTGGCCACAGCTGATGTTAAATGGACCAGACTACTTTGTTGCGCATTGATATGACTGCACATGGTGCCTTTAACAGAGCGTTCTTAGCAATGGGCTGCTACTGGGTAAAAACAGACCGCTGAATCTCCAATTGACCAATCAGAATCAACTACCATGTAATGGAAATAAATAATGACTGAGTCTGACCAGACGTATAAAGACCTGCTGATAATCCTGATAACACATCCAAGACGGTGTCCTCACAAGATGTAAATGTGTCCATGCAATCCATTAGTGAGGAACGTGTGTGTGCATCAAACAGAAGCTCTTTTAATCATACATGGGGAGAAACATCCACCCCCTCCATCCTTTTCTTACAGCTACAGTAATTACTGCCAATGGGTTTTAAAGGACTTTGCCTACACTTTTGGAGAGTTGGTCTTCCTGCCACTAATCTGCTTAGTACTGGTACCAAAATCTCCTGCGTAAGAGTAACTACACCCTGACTAAAACCCATCTCACGCTGCCACCTGGAGGTCTCTACATGCCCTGCCACACCTTGTGCTCTTGTGAAACGCTACATCCCAGCTGAGTGTGGTCATAAACGCAACATAGCACACCTACTAGTAATACAGGCAGAGGTGTGAAGTGACATTTTAAAATCATGCTGCAACTATTCAGAGCTTATTAAAAACTCCTGCTTATACTATCAATAACATCACATGTCCACCAGATCCACTTCATATGGAGAGCAAGAGAAGCAGTGCATGATGGGAGTGCTGAAGTGAGTTGGACGGGGTCATTTGGATAAAGAAAGAAAAAGTGAGTCCGACCAGTGTGATGTGGATGGCTCACAAAGCCTTGACCAATATTTCAATCTAGACGATGTAGTTCTATAAGCTTGAAGCAAGATGGAGCAGTAGCTCTTTTCTCACCTCAAATGTATTCCTTTTGTGTAACAAGAAGGTTATGAGTAGGATGCCATGTTGGATTCCTTCTTGAAACGGTAAGCAGAAAACCAGGGAACAATTTGCTTTCAACCCTACGCTGCATCACCGCTATAGGGGCCAGTTCTTCCATTGCTTCATCCCTACCTGATTCCATCCATCACTCCCACCATCCACCAACTATCTATCCATCCATCCATGGACTGCCTTGTATGCAGTGTCGAGTCACTAACATAATGTCCAGTAGAAATGAGGTACTAATACACTTGAGCTATAAGAAGTTGCTAACCTATTTGCAACTATTTCATCGCCCCTTAAACAGATTTTCCACAAGAATATAAACCTAAAAGTGGTATTACTGACAAAACTGTTTAAAAAAGTCATAATTTTATGAAAACAAAGTTGTAGTTTAACCAAAACATTTTCATATGTAAAATATTGTTAGTTGTAATTTCATCAGGAAAAAGTTGATATTATCATAGGATGAAGAAGGATTATACACTTTATGTACTGTTATATTTTGAGACAAAGTGAGAGGGTATGTGTGGGTGGGGGTGTGTGTGTGTGTGTGTGTGTGTGTGTGTGTGTGTGTGTGTGTGTGTGTGTGTGTGTGTGTGTGTGTACCTGGACACACCGCCTGCAGGGTGACGTGGCTGACTCGCAGCGTGCTGGTCAGATGTCTTTGAGTAGATCCTGAGAATAAAAGGTAAAACTCCACCTTCTCTTCTTCATCCTCAGCACGACACACATCATCTTCCTCCAGGTGAACAGTCAACACACACTCTCCCTGAGGTGACACACACAGGCACACACAGGCAGGGAAATCAACTTTGTTCCAGACAGCGATGCAGACTGGTGATGTTCAGTTCATCCCAGATTGATCCCAGCTGACAGATCTGAGTCAATCTCGATCTGAAGGTCAACCCGAGTATGTACATGGAATTATACATGCGGTAGAATATTTTTGTATATAGATATTAATTGATTTATATGGTTGTATTTAAAAGATCTAAAGGGTGGTATATATTGTTATCAAGAAATTATCTAAACCAGCGGTTTTCAAAGTGTGAGGCGCGCCTCCCTGGGGGGGCGCCAGAGAGCTTCAGCGCAGCGAGAAAAAAATAACGAGAAAAAGACGACTAAAGTGTCACTTGCACACTTTTGGCTGTCTGTGGAGACCGAGTTCCCCCACCTCGCCAAAAAGGCTGTACTAGTGCTCACTCCCTTCACCTCCACCCAGGGGCAGACTGGCCATCTGTGTGTTCTGGAGAATCACAGAACAGTCGGTCGTCAGCGGGCCGTTGACGGCCGGCTCGGTTTTTTAAACGGCATCATATAAGTTGCGCTGAGAGGCAACAGAGGTCCGTTCAGCGGGCCGTTTCCACGCAGCGAGGCGAGGCTCCCCCCCCCCCACTTTGATCAAAAGCAAGTACCGGTCAAGGCTGTAGCCAGAGGATGATCTGCGTTTTTTCCTGTCTACATTGCATCCCTGCATCATCCGCCTGTGCGCATCAAAGACGCAGACTCATTGTTCCCACTAAAGTAGGGGTGAGTGAAATAAGGAGGCAAAGTTGACGTTCAGTGTGTTGCCGGGAGCATATAAGGATGTATCCACCATGTTGAAAATGTTAAAAAAAAATGTTTAACATAAAGATAAAAAGGTTTAAAAAAGTTATTGTTTAATGTTTTAAGGAGGTGACGCTACTCAGCCAATCAAATCGGTGCAGTCAGTGAGTCAGCACGATAGATTCAAACACACACAGAGACGAGACAAGAGGAGAGAAACAGTCGGAGTCATTTCAAATGGCGTGCTCAAAAAAGAGAAAGGTAGACAGCGAAAACAGAGCATTTAATGACATTTTCTCTTACTGGACCTCTTTGAAATGCAATTGAATACCCCTGCATTATAGCAACAACAACAATAATAATAATAGCAATAATAATTGGGAGGGGGGGCACGGCTGTTCTTATGTTCTCTGAGGGGAGGCTCACCTTCCTACACTTTTAAAACCCCTGATCTAAACCATGACATTTATCATAGAATAGATATGAAATGATCTAACCTTGACGTTATCGGGGTATGAAATGATATTTTTTGTGACAGAAAATAATGGCATCACCAAGCCCTAAATAAGCGCTTGGTGAGTAGACATGAATATTTTGGTTAAAAAGTCAGAATAGAACCTTCACAGTTTTCCGGGTTTTATGCTGTGAAACATGACACACTCTTCTGCTGAACACGCAGCCACAACCAAACACGCACAAGCTAACAATAGCACACTGGAATGTTTCAGATCCAACACACACAGTCACACACTATCACACACCCACACTCTTGCTCAGAAAGTGGCAGCGATTTTAAGTTTGCAGTCGGTTGGTCAAACAGCAATAAAAGTGCTTGAATGCACCTTAATACAAGCGAATAGCCCTGAGTTACCTGATGCTAGCAGCTAACGGCTAATGTTAGCTCTTTTGCTAATTTAAACACAGATTTATTGCTCACAATGTAGCATTCAGGAAAAAAAATTCTGCATTTGAGTGTAACAATTAAATACTTGTAACAAACTAGTGGTATGCTTTCTAATCCATATTTAGAGCATTATTGTAGCAGCAAACAAGTATTAGCCATGTGCATGTTAGTGGATGTGAATCCTGTCGTTGCTAGCTAATGGCCGCCACTCTACAGTGCCCTTATAAAGCTGCCATTTACTGATAAAGTTGTTGCAGAAGCTTAAACGTCAACCTTTAAGCTTGTGTTAGCCAAGCTTTAAGATAACATTGTTAGCTCTGTTAGTATTGTTGCCTCTGTTAGCACACAAAAAGGGTTCAAATGTGCTTCACAGTTAAAAGATGATAAATAAAACAAACAGAAAAAAATAACCAGCAAGAGGGGATCAATAAAAACACTTAAAAAAATTATAGGTTTTGAGATTAGACATACATTCAAATACACAGGAGAGCAGATAAGCAGCATTGCAGTGCACATTAACAGAATGCTAACCTGCTAGCCGCCATCAGTGGTTTAAATGAGATAGATAACAGACAGGAACTAGAGAATATACCAACAGGCTTTATCATGCAGCTTTCTGATATCATTCTGATGCTGTGTGATAACGACAGATACTTACATATAGTGGAGCCTGTTGGGGATTCAGCTTCATGGCACTGATATCTAGAAAAGGAAACAGAGGCACAGAGTTCAGCACCACACACACACACACAGTCAGGAAGATGTCATTCACACGCAGATGGATAAACAATGGGTTTTAAGGCTTTTACACTTAAATATAGAAAGGCTCTGCCATAAATGTGAATGGAGGAACCTCTGGGTTCTGCATTCTCTGAAATATCCAGCAGGGGCGACTCAAGTGTTACAAAAAGAGACATTATTGTATAGAAGTCTTTGAAGAAAGGAGCCCACTGTTCACTTGCTTTATTACCTCAGGAAAGACATTGTGCACCTGTGTGAGAGGAAATAACGCCAGCAGGCAGCGGTAAACTGCATTTGTCATTCTAAAAGGGAAACAAGAAGGCCTATAACTGCAAATATACCAGCTGATGTTACGATACATACATTTAAACAAAGCTCTTTCTCACACTACTCCCAATCAGCACCTCATCCCAGATAAAAATATCTCTGTATTAGAATGATCAGAAAATGAAGATGAAACACGAAAAGAGACTGTGCGCTGTTCACTTGTTTTCCTCACTTCCCTTTCTCTTCTGTATATTGATTATTTTAAACTCACTAGAGTGTTGCAGAAATGATTTTTTTGTAGGCCGACCCGGAAGTCAGCAACACAAGGGCCCTCTCAACGAAAAGCTAAATTATTTCTCCATTGGACTTCGGAATATTGAAATAAATCTGCTCTGTGGCAAACAAATGTTGATGATACTTCCAGGTTTTTTTCAGCAGGATTATCTCCACATATTAACATCATTCTTAGAACTATTGGCGAGTTAATGACTTCGCAACTGAAACTAATGCAAGTAAAAATCTAACGTAGACATATGTCAGCATTATGACATTTAGTTGTCTTATTGACATGTAAACGTTCAATCCTTCACAAAAGTGGTACATACTGACAATTTTTTATTCATGAAACATTCCATCAAAAAGAATTGAGCTTGTATTAACCGCTGACCTTATTTTAGAGCATCAAACCGAAAAACAATGAACTTTGTGACAAGCGAACCAAAAGTACCTACATGCCAACTCATATTCAGGTTATTGGACTCATTCCTGCATCGCTCTAAACACGCTATAGCCAATCAGAGTGATATCTGGAAGGGATCCCCAACCGGACTGTCGTCTAGGGTGGACTTGTGCAAACGGTGACAATACACCACAAAAACTACGGCAAAATACACTGACTGAAGGCCATCAGTGGCCAACAGCGACCATTGGCTTGGTTTGATATTTGGACATCGACAATGAGGGACACAGACCTGCACTGTGAAAGTGAAGAGAGACATAGTTTGAAAAGCTCCATTGGTCACTGGAGTGATGCCAGTGAAATGAAGGGCAGTGTACGTCACAAAGTGCTGTGATGTGTGAGCTAAAGAAGCTGATTCTTTCTATAGTCGAGAATCACAGCATCTCATGTACACGAAGGCGGCAGCGACTGGATCTCTGTATAAATCCCATTCTTCCAGACTTGTCATGAAGACGAGTGGGGGTGACCACTTAGCTATTCTACATGCACTCATGTGGTTGTCCCATTCATTGGCAGGAAACAGGAAGTCAGAGGAAAACAGAGGAGCCTCACAAGTCCTCCTCACACAGTCACAGGAGAACACAAGCCTTCTTCACAAAACACAGACACACACACAGTCTGGTGGAGGCAGACAGACAGGCAGATAGACAGATGGCTGTACGACATCTGCAGTGAACTGCCCTGATTGGAGAACCATGTATAAACAAACGTTTGAACGGGCGAATGATCCTGAAATGTACATTATACATTATTTTTGTATGGGTCCACAAGGGAACAAGTGACATGTGCTGTGTCTCAATTCAGATACTTTCCTTTGAGTACGGCATCTTGTGCACTGTGACTTATGCAGTGTGTGATTTTGGACCATGCAGTGTTGTCTCAAATCGCACACGGCTGCTGTACCCTAACCAGAAGTAATCATTGCTATTGTTAGCTAGCTAGCTTGTTGCAACGATTGATTGTAAGTGGTACCAAGTCATTATATACTAATCTATTAACCCTGAAAATCAACAGGGGCTTAACTGCAACACCATTATAGTTTTACTTTACTAAAGTTGTGAGAAAAAAACCCACATGTAAACTTTTATTTGTATAGTGCTATGTTTACCAGAGCAACTGCAATCACGGCTGGTTGCCTAACATCCTAAGATGTCTGTGTGTCCAAAGAGTCAGTGTGTAGTTTGTAGGGCGAACTAATAGCAGTAATCAAATCAAATATTAATTAGTGAATTATCACATAAAACTAAGAAATGTTAAGACTTTGTGATAGCTCATATCTATTTTGAGAGCTGGCCATTTTCAGTCTGCCATCTCCGTGTTTTTAAGGTAGACAAAGTGGAAAACCCTGGACAAACTTGGCGATATAGAGGACTTTTCACATTTGATATTGCTTAAATACCATCGTAGTTCTCTAACGCTCTTTTAACCTGTGGTAACACCATCCTTATTGACCACTATCGAAGCCTTCAGGGGACTAACTTATTTTGTCCTGATAATGTTACATTGCGAACAACAAATATGTGTTAAAATATAGAGGAAAGCTAGTAAACATTAGCAGTTACCTCTAAGCTGTTCGCAGCCGATGAAAGGAGGTTCCATAGAGTTGCACTAGAACGTGTTCAGGCTCGGTTCAGTATAAATATAACTATATTATATAATATATATCATATAAGGCCAAGGTAAATTATAACATTGATTTGGTAAATGTAGTCTTGTAAAATGTTGTTTTCGGTGAGACGCCAAAGTAAATCCAGATGTTTTCACAGCTAAATTAAATAGATTTTAGAGAGGAATTATGACCTTGTGAACTTCTTAAAAAGAAAAACAGAATTAAAAAGGTTATAAAGCAAGGTATCTAGAAGTAGATGAGATGTATTGTTTTGTTTTTCACTGTGGTATTGGTATCAACTACGACTTCTGTGACATTTCCTATATTCATGAGATATATTAATCAGTAAGTGAAGATGAACTTGAACAAGAGAGCAGTGTGTCACGGATACTGAGTAAATCAAAGGAAACACTGTGTTCTCCAAACTATGGAGGGCAGCGTTTGGCATGACTAACGACACATCTTCTGTGGAAACGCAGCAGACGTACTGTATACTGAAGGTACAAAGAGATGGAAGCTAAGTCACCGAAGACCATTCAGCATGAGGCATTACGATGACTGACGTTTAAAGCATCAGATCCTCTAGTCCTCCTGTCTGGATGTCTGTAGAGAAAATCCTCACCCTGGCCCTGTGTGTGTGTGTGTGTGTGTGTGTGTGTGTGTGTGTGTGTGTGTGTGTGTGTGTGTGTGTGTGTGTGTGTGTGTGTGTGTGTGTGTGTGTGTGTGTGTGTGTGTGTGTGTGTGTGTGTGTGTGTGTGTGTGTGTGTGTGTGTGTGTTACTTAGCCCACCCTCTCATCCCACAGCAGGGGTTCATTTGAGATCAGTCTGTTCCCAAAGCCCACCTACTGTCCAGAGAACAGACAGTGGCCCCTTCTGTTGCTGCTGCAACACAAGGTTTTCCCCGTTGAGTTAATCCTGTCATGTCAACCAAGTTCAGTATGGTCTCTTCTTTAAAGGTCTTGTTTCATCAAATTCTAATGGTGTCAATCAGTTACAAAGGTAATCAAGGTAATGGACAATAATAGTCTGTGACTACTCATGATTAGGCACAATGGAAGCATGATTAAGTTTGACATTTTTAGGGGAGATAAAACAAACCCATTTGGTGTTGTAAAAAAAACAAAAAAAGGAAATCAGAGGGTTTTTTTACTTTATTAGACCATCTTTGTTTAGTTTTGATGATTTCTGAATTATTGGCATGGAGTTTGACAATTTCTTCCGACACCTGAGCATTGGGCAGCCATTATGTATGGCGCGTGGGAGCAGTGTAGGGGACGGTGCCTTGCTCAGGGACACCTCAGCAGTGCGACGTCCTGGGACTTGAACCAGTGACCTTCCGATTCCCAAGCCAAGCCACAAGATCTATTTAGTAGGGGTTTTCACCATTAACGTTTTACCTCTCTCAATTAATAACCAAGCCTAAATAAACGCAAATGTATCATATTACCAAGTTTGACCCTCCCGTAATTCCAGCTACTTTTATTTCAACTCCCAACCAAAAGTATTATTGCAATTCCCTACCGACTGAGCCACCACCATCCTACAGCATCAACAAAGCTGCTGACTCTGATGGCTGCTGTGATTCCCCTCTGTATATTGTGCTCTACTCAGGGTTAGGGATGTAACGATACCAAAAACTCACGGTACGATAATATCGCGATAAAAAGTCCACGGTACGATATTTATCGTGATATTGAAAAATAAAGAAGAAAAAAATTGTGAATTTTCTTTTTTTTTACATTTTATTTTGACTTTTTTTTTTTTTTTTACTTGACTTTTTTTCTTCTTTATTGAATAATAAATCTGATTTGTACAGCATTTTAGTAGTATTTTAAAGTGTCAACAATATAATAATCAGACCCTGCAATAAAATAAATCAAGTTTCACTTTAGTTTTTCAAGTAACTCAAACTCACTAACTCACTCACTCAGCATCATCAGACAGGTTTTTAGGAATATGAGCATGCCCACATTTCCAGGTAGAAGCTGGGATGTTCGGGCGTTTACAATATCCCCTGAAAATGCAGACACTCACTATGACTCACTCACGTGCACGGTTGTGGCATGATCACCAAAACAGAAAGATATGGACACAAGATGTGTGCAAATGTATTTAGTATCCTATCCATTTGAACATGATTTAAGTGGGGGGTGGACTTAACCTCCTCTAGGGGGGTCCGGGGGCATGCTCCCCCGGGAAGATTTTTTTTTTATATTGAAGTTAAAAGCATCAATCTGGTGCACTTTGAGAGCAAAATGAAGAGATCTATGGATACATCTCTCAACACCCATATGAAACAGAACTGTAAGCAGATTTTCTTTTTATTTATGGATATTTTACAAATC